TTACAGACAAGGATCAGGAAGCTACATCAGTTTTGGGATCCTTAATTCCGGAGGATATTAAAGTCCAATTGTACAGTAGTTTAATGAAACGTGTAAATAATCAGTTGAAAGACATTTTAGATAAACCTATTTCCGTTAGAATGGTTTCTGGTGAAGATAAATCATCCATAGGAAAAAGTAATACTATCTCCACTAATGAAACTCCTCCACCTGTAACTCCTTCTAGCACAGAGTCTACTCCAGTTGGTTCCCCTGAAAAATTCACGTTATCTGAATCAGATATAAAAATGCTGAAAGAATTTCCTACCACTCAAATGAATAAAGCTCACAATTTGCTCGGGTTTTTAAAGTGTCATCCTGAAAGGATAAAATGGGATAAATCAGGACGAGTAACTTTCTGGGGAAGTGAGTTTGAACCTGACTCTAACATTTCGGATTTAATGAGTTACTCCATTAGAGATTTGAAATGGACCACATCCCCAAACGGAATCAACAGATTCCTGAGAGTGTGTAAAATGTTAAATGTCCCTGCCGCTCTATTTTCAACTGTAGTGAGAAATGATCTTATGGGTACCTTAGATTCTATTCCTCTAAAACAAACAGCTACGCTCAGTGCTCATAAGCTGTCGAGCTTCAGTGCATGGGAACCGTTAAACCAAAATGATGCTCTGATTAAAACCTTTGACCCATATCGTACTCCAACGGGAATTCCCGAAAGACCTCGCAACACTAAGGACGTTACATCAAGACAGAAGACTTCATATGGTTTCCCACATGATAGAATGGCTTTTGACTGAGGTATTCGTTTTTGAACAACAACAACAACAACAAAAAAAATCCTTCTTAACTTTGAGGTCTGGTTTGTATAAAAAATTGTTTTAATAATTTAATAAACTATGCTAAAGTAGTACGACATATTAGTGATATGCTCATTGTAGTGCCAGAGCTCATGCGATTCAGTTCTAATCAGATAAGGTTTTCCGTATTTATTTTAAATACTGAACATGGTTCTCCAAGATGAAACTTTTCCAACTCTGGTCTATAAACCATACGATATTGATAACAAAGATATGTGTCTAAATAGTGATCGTTTAGCAACATTCAAAAACTGGACCGGAAAATGTAAGCAAAATCCCAAAAATTTTAGTGAAGCAGGATTTTACTCTACTGGATATGGAGATCGGCTTTCTTGTTATTATTGTGGAATAATAATCCATAATTGGCTGCCAAGTGATGATCCCTGGATTGAACACTCTATTCATTCAAGTGACTGTCCATGCCTCTCTTTGCACAAACCTAAATTGGAGACTATTTTATCGAAGGATTTAGACCAAAGTTATACTTACCAAAAATATAATGTAATTTTGTAATGCTTTTATATATTTTCAGTTTTATCAAAATAATTATTTTATTGTTTTATTATCTTTTTATTACAGAGTCTATGCAAACAAATAAATTCGTCAAAGGATGAGAATGGTGAAAATCAAGAAAATGCTACTCTTACACTCCTTCATAGCCTGATGGAAACATTTCTGTGTTCGGTGTGTAAACTCGAAGAAGCTAATTACATGTTCACTCCATGTTGTCACATTTGCTCCTGCTTTCCATGCTCTAGTACCCAAGACCTATGTCCTATTTGTAGATGCCAAATTAAGGGAATAACAAAAGTTTTCAAACCTTAAACTGTACATATTTTATTTATTATTTATATATGTGTAATTGTAATCATTTTATTGTTATGTTTAAACTGTACAATAATTCGCTAAATAAATAATTGGTACTTGTTAATTTTAAATATTTTACTTGTTGTACGTAGGAATCAAAAAATGATTGTGAGCAAGTGTACTAATTCCATCGGGTAAAATAAAACGTTTCGAATCAAAACTATGCAAAGCTACTTTTGTATAATTTGCAGTTGTTAGTTTATGATTCTTTGAACGAATCAAATTCATTCTGCACATATATTTTGTTTGCTCAAACAAAGTCTCCATAAAAGCTTTATGAGTTACATGTTTTCGTACTAAAGATTGTTTGACTCCTTTCATAGCAATCTTATGGATATTCTTGCCTGCAAAGGAATACATTTTTGGAGAAACACCCACAAAACTATACATGATTTTTCCGTTACTCTCGTCCTTCATTTTACCAATCACTTTTTTATTTTCTGTAGAATAAAGTGGATGAGTGTGCTCAAAATCACTAAAGTCAAAATCATTTTTCACCAGTCTTAAATCAGCATAAAGATCAGCGGTTTTAATTTGATAGGCTAAGCTGTCCGTATCTGTAAAAAGGAACCTGGCTTTAATTCCATACCATTTTTTGATCTTGTCATAATGCCAAACCTGCATAAACAACTTGCTGAGATCTAAAACCGAAAACGCTGTATATATTGGCTTATCCAATACAATACTAGGTTTACTCATGAAAACAAGTACCAAGTTTGGAGAAAGAATCTCAAATTTTCTGAAGTTCGAAAGCCTGGAATAATATTTTGCTGTTTCAATACTATTAACTATATATACATTTTGCTGATTCCTAACATTCATCATGCTACGTCCAAAAATTGCGTTAACTATTAGCTTGAAAAAGTCTTGCTCAGATTTGTTTGTAGCTTTTCGTCGTAAATCACAACAAAGGTTTACAAAATCTTTAAGCCAGGGCCTTTGAACAAATTTAATTATCTTATGAATCTTTGTTAATACCATTCCCTTCTCCAAATAATATTTGAGATTTCTATAATGCACTGGATACATTTTTCTAGATCCTAAATGAGGAACTAATTTTTTCTGCTTTTCTGAATATTTAATGTTATAGGAAGTTAAAAGCTCCCGCTGATGCTTCGAGAGTTGATTCATGGAAATTGTAATTTTCTCCGGAGCTAGTGAATATTCGTTGTGCTCGCTCAACAGGTGGAGCTCACAGGGATATTCTAAATTGACAACCAAAATTCTACCGATTTCATCCTCATCAACCCATGCCAAAATATCATCTATACTTAAATTATCAATGAACTCTTGACTTTCCCATTGAAAATCAGAAACAGGCAAAGGCTGCTGAAGCACCTCACCGTACAAGTTGTTTTTATCAATATAAAGAAGAAAAGGGTCTTCCTTGACTCCTTCTTCATAATCTTCCATATACTTGTTGTAAGCTTCAGAATATCTATGAGATATCATAGATACTCCTCCTCTAATGCCAGACTCTATAGTATTGTACATGTCTTGATCAGTAACAAGTTCTAGCTTAACTTTTGTACTCAGAAGAGCAGCATCCCAGCTGAAGCCTGGGAGACTAAAATAGTGACAAGGGTCAAGCTTAAAGTTAGAAATTGCCATATCCCTGTAGCTTTCAAAAACGCATGCCAACAGAAGTACATCTGTTGTTAAATATATGTCGTGGTACGAACCCAGGTCAGTGCATTCGGTTTCAAACACTGACTTACCAAAATCATAATCCTCTTGTGAAATCCCTTCACAAGTGAGGGTGTTATAAAACTCTGAAATATCGGGAAATTTGGTTTCCTTAAATTTATCCCAAGAACTGAAATAAGAATATGGATAGACACCTTTCCTTGAGAGTTTTACAGCCCGTTCTTTTGAAAAATGTTGTATCATTATACCAAACTTGTCATCAAAGCCTTCGGGTTTTGCATGAAGGTTTGTTACAAGAGCATCTAAAGATTTGGGCAGATGCATGAAAGAATCTATGAACATGAACTTATCACAAATAATGCCTATAAATTTTTCAGAGTTTTGAGGGATAACGAACGTATTCCCAGAACCAAATTTCGTTGCTGAACTTAACAGCAGGTGAGAGTCATAATTTCTAAAATTATGCATAAGTACAGGGATTTTGACTTTTTGAATATACGAAGCATTACATTCTCTATGAGCAGCTCCTCTAAATAATGATCATGATCTCGAACTTTTATAGATTGGTGATCAAAATCATGCTCACAAATGTGGCAGGAATCTGCCATAGAAAAATCATATTCTTCCTCTAGAGAAAGTTGTTTCATAGCGATATGGATTTTGTTCCTTTGTATGCAAAAGCTAGCTTGTAGATTTACTTCATCTATAAATTTGTCAATGCTATTTGGACCACGATATTTCGATATATGAACCAGTTTCTTATTTGGGCCAATTACTGCAAGATTATATCCTGAAATTTTGTGTTTATCTATTGAGGTCGTACTGGTATTATCGTCTGTGAGCATTGCTTCAAAATCTCCATACATCACAAAGTTACACTTTAGTTTATTACTAAGTTTTTTACTCTCAAAAGAGCAGAATGGAATTTTTCCATCAACGACTGAAGGAACAGAAACCTTTTGAGTTTTAAACTCAAAACACAACTGCTGATGTGAATCAAGACGCTTTTCATCTCCGAAAGTATTCAAACAATTGTAGCAAACAAATTTTCGATGATGTCCCTGTCTGTTGATTAGGCGAGAAAAATTCAGGATAGACATGTAATGCCCATGTTGCTTAAAAGCATCCTGAATGTATAGAATGTTTACGATTTTATGCGTTCTGCTATTTGCATGAGGTGTTAGGCGTAAAACGTTAAGCTGCTCTTCTTGATCAATACCAAACACATTAATACCAATTTTAATATGTTTGTGCCGCTTTTCGAATGCTATGATATCTTTCAACGATGTTGGAAACTTTAACGAACATCCACCCTTTAATATTTCAAACTGAGCTGTTCGTATATCACAGCCTTTCACTTCATCTAATATCCAACCACTGCCATTTCGTTCGAAGATTTCCACATTATTATCGATTTCATTAACCATGTCACAAAAGATTCTATTAATGTAGAGGGGACTGAGGATAATTTTAAGAGAAGAATTAAAATATTGTTATGTTGTTTCCATGAATTCTACCTCTTCTTCATCCACGCTTGGATGCATACGTTTAAATTTACACAAAAGCGTTATTTGAAACTTAATGCTATTATAAATTGAAACATTGTGAAATAGAATCTGTTTATTTTAAACTTAAATCTATTAAAAAAATCTCTAACAGAAATAATATTATTATCCTCATGTGTATGTCTAAATCTGTAAGTTTTCATAAAGCCTTTAAAGGCTTCAATTTCAGTGAAAGGGAAAGCATTCAGTCGTAGCCCTCTTCCTCTTTGATCAAATTTCATGGATTTTATAGCTATTCTTTTATGAGCTTCATTGTGCTCTATAAGATCAAAAATGTTGGCTGAGAAGTCACAATATTCACATCTATGATAAGTATTCATATGTACTTCTAACAATTTAGACGACCTGAATGACATGGTACAATATTGACACAATTTTCTCTTGTTTTCATCTCGGTGCCTTAGTAAATGTGACGCAAAATGCTGACGATTTAAGAATCTCCTAAAACATTTCAAGCATTGGAATGTTGTCGTCTTAATACGAGGAGCCTGCCAAAATAAAACAACAATCTCAGTAACTATCAACAGTTTATACACATTCTTGTCTAAGTGATCTCACCATTTTCTTTGTGATGTAAATCTCTCAACTATTATTAGGTTGCTCCGAATGAAGTACTCATACACTAAGCACGGAGAAAAAAAAACAAATTTTGAGAATTAATTGTATAAATTTAAACTTGGAAATTTAAAAATAATAAATAAATAAAAAATAACTTACCAAAATTTCCAAAATCAAAGTCAAGAAGTGTGTATTCTAAAAAATGCTTGTGAGAAAATATGTATAACAACATCTTTTTTTATATCTCGGCGTGACGTCATTATCTTAATACCAGGAATGTGTTTATATATAATAAAACATACCATCACTTCAACTCCAATACTGTAAAAAATATTAATTACCACTTACCACTATTAACTGTATTTTGTAAATAATTGAATTAGTAAGACTATAAAAACAATTGGCAAAATAATGAGCAAGTTAGTCAATGTTTCAACATTACGTGCAAAGGATTTCCAAAGAAGAAATAAAAACTTTAAAAACTCCAAAATGTCTCAGGGTAAGTTTTCCTAAAACACAAATAAAATAATTTTAAGAAACTAAACAAGCTTTAGGAAAATTTTCAAATGTTGATAAAATATAAACTTGAAATCTTAAATAAATTCCAATATTTACGTAAATTTTAGCATGGATAAACGCAGTGGCAAGAGCACGAAAAATCTTAGAGGAGGCTATGCCAGGAAGTCGAGAGTCTGAGGACGCACGAGCTTTTCTTCTTTCTCACCGTCGACAACCTGAAGTCTTTGACGCTGGATTCGTCGTAGACGATGATGAGGAGGAACCAAGCGGACCTTTCACTGATGAGGAGGAGGATGAAGACGAAGAGGACGAGGATTCTCCGTCTGAGCCAGAGGAGGATCCTGATTTTGTTCCTGCAAATGAACATTCGCAAAAACGTAAGATATTTTATTTGATTTATTAGGTCATATACTTATTGTTCATTTTTAATTTAATTGTAAATTGTTTCTACTATCAGGGCTGAACCTCGTGGATGATTTGTATGCAGTGCCTAAGTCAAAGCGCAAAGAACCTGCAACCAAATCAAAGAAACTGGAGCCAGTTGTTAAACTGGAAAAAGTTGATTTATATACGGAGCAGAAACGACGACGGGAAGCAAGGGAGAATGCAGCTGATGCGAAGAAAGTTGACGCTGCTTCCAAGAAGGAGCTAGATGCCGCTCGTCGAAACCCGTTAAGCTTGTTCTACACTGGTCCTGAAGAGAAGACAGTCAAGGCTGCTGCCGCCGCTAACAAGAGGAAGATGGCTGAAAAGGGTCAATAATTATTTTAAAATGTTAATAGGGAAATTTGTTGTAATCATAAGCTTTAAATTTTTATTTCTATTAATTGCAGAAAAGTCCCCAGCGGAGAAGAGAGGTCGAGTCAAGAGTGTTCCGCCTTCTGCTGTTCCTGTTTCTTCAACGGCGCTTGTTCCTGTTGCTCGTACTACGATTCCTCCTGCAAGCTCATCATCATCAGCTCCGGATATGAAGCATATGTGCCTTCATCATCTTAGAAAGGTCCTATTTCGCTTAATTTTGCTCCCGAAGGGGAAAGGAGTGACGATCCTAGTGGACAAAATATTGTCCATTGGGAGGGCCAGCTAGGTCAGGGGTTTTGGCTAAAACTCCAAACTTGGAGAAAAAATGGGCAGGCTTATGTCTGCATCAGAAAGAATCAAACCACAGGGGCAAACCTGTCGTTTAAATATTTTTAATCGTTGGTTGCAGCTTGCAATACCCTGCAAACAAAGATTGACACAGACCCTGATTATACTACCTGAATCCCATAAATCCTTTCAAAATTAAACTGAAATCTATTTTTTCTTTACCTCTCTTAAGCTGAACAAGTTGGTTGGTCAGAGGAAGTAGATTCTAATCAGGGCGTCTATAAAAATTCGGAAGATCTTATAATTATTTCAAATAACGATTATATAATGGGACATACACAGTTTTTTCACTTCTTGCCTATAACACTCCAAAGAAAATTAAAATTTGTTAAATCATGTAACGTAGCTATGACTTCGATTTTCCAAGCCAAAGAAAGCTTTCTTTTACCTGACAATTTTTGGTATCCCGTTTTGATGGTATCTCCTCATTATATGGATTGAATGTAGTAGTTGATTTCCTACATATTTCAAATATATAAAAATAAGTCGATAATTATAATAGTTTGACTAACAATTGAAGTTTAAATAAAAAATGTATAAATATTAACCTTCTAGATGACTATAGAACGGTCCACTTTATTAGGAAGACCTTTGAAAGTAAATTTCCAACAAAGTTGCACCCTCAATCTGCTGGTTATGATTTGTACTGTCAATCCGGAGCGTTACTTAAAGCAGGGGAAATGATATTGATGGATATTGGGATTCAAGTTAAATTACCGTTGGGCCATGTTGGTTTGATTAAACCAAGGTCTGGGTTAGCGTTGCGGCATAAAATTGACGTCATGGGGGGCGTGGTCGATGAAGATTTTGAAGGAACTTTGGGGGTTATGCTAATCAACCATGGGAAACTTCCATATCAAGTTGAACTTGGGGATCGTGTTGCTCAGTTCTTGATTATAAAACTCCATAATGGACCGTTGAAGAAGTCTACGTTTGATGAAATTATTACCACCACAGCACCTGTTGCTTCTCGGCGTGGAGCCAAAGGATATGGCTCCTCTGGAAAATAAAAACGAGCAATTTTTACTATATTCAATATAAACTAAGTAAAATTTACTTAAACTTAAATATCTTCGCAGCTAATGTTAAAATTTCACCATCCTTCCTGCACGACCCTTGATTCAATAAATAAAACACACGCACAAACTTAATCCAAATATTTAATCTAATAACTGAAATTAATGTCCTCAAAAATGTTAATATTTGTTACATAAAATGTCTCCTATATTGAACTGTACCTGAAGAACATGCTTGCATTAGTTGGTGGGCGAGCTCCTTGTTGGAGCTACTAGTGGAAGAAACTTTTCTCTCTTGGTCGAGTTACTTTTACTTTCCGCTGTAAGACACAATGTTGCAGTAAGACGGAATATGTAACTTGAAAAGAAAGAAAAAATAATAATGAAAATCATAACTAAAATCTAAAATAATTAATGAACTAAGCATACCAAGCTTAATTTTGCAAATATTTTGCAATGAAACATGCGTATTTTCATATGTACATATATTTCATGTAACCTACACACTTACCAGAAAATAAAACCTTCATTTATCATCCTATCTTTGGTGCTGTTGTTACAATTTATTGATATCAATCTCCATCCTGTATGACCCTTCATCACACAAACACACACACACACACACACACTTTTGCAAGTATTTACAGGGTGTTAATAAAGTCCGATCCCATTTTTCCTGTAAAAAAGTGAAGGCTAGTATAAAAAAAAACTACCCGTGATACTTACAAAAAATGTTCGACATATTTACCTTAGTATTTGGTCTTGTTACCATTTACTTTAACCATGCCCTCAACTCTTTGTTTAAGGCTCTGTGCTAATTTTTCCAATGTGCCTCTGGAAATCGAATTCCATACATCTTGAACTTTTTTTTACTAGCTCTTCCCTCGTCCGGGGTTGTGGCTCTTTGTATACATTTTCCTTAAGTATGGACCACTGGTTCTTCAGGGGATTCAAATCTGGGCCGTTAGCGGCCCACACCCCCTTGCTCCAGACCGTTGAAACTTGCGTCTTGATGAGACTCAAACTCGCTTTTGCTGTATGGGCTATAGCACCATCCTGCATGAAAACTATTTTTCTTTCATTCGGAAATATTTCCTTGTTCCCCATGCTATCGAAATAGATAGGTAATATTTTTTCCATATAATGCTTTGCATTGACTGATTGGCCTTTTGGTATGATATGTAGAGGGGTCACGCAACGTGCACAAAATCCACCCGCTACCATAACTTTAAGCCCGAATTTTGGGATCGCTCTTGATGGTACATCCGATTTGTTTTCTGTCCTGTAACGAACATTTTGTTGGTTCAATTTTGGATATAGTTCAATAATAGATTCGTCAGTCCAAAGGATGTGACTGCGCAATTCTTCACCAAGTCTTTTTTCACTCAAATGGGCACTTTTCTGAAGGAGTTCTTCAAATTTCAGACGGTCATCGATATATTTTTGTGACATGAGAGGTTTTTTTGGTTAGTTTGTAAGCTGTGTGACCCCACTTCGTAGTTTTCACAAATTTTTGCACGGTCACACAGTTAATTTGCTTCTTCTTCTCTTTATAGCGTTTTGAGTCATTTAACTCCCTTGCTCAATTACGTAATGAACTACCGGTTTTCTTGCAAAGTCTGTTTTTAATCATTCTTTTTGTGGTAGGTGACACCTTTCTGGGTCGCCCTGGTCGCTTTTTGTCGTGGACAAAATTTTTATTCTTCCATTTCCAAACAGTTCTGCGGCTGCAGCCCAATTTTTGCACAATTTCTGTAGGTTTAAGCCCCTGCTGATGCAATGTTTGTATCTCAACTCTAAGATGCTCATGACTTACACGTTTAGTTGTTCCTCCCATGGTAAAAATTTGAAATAAATAACTTCACTGGTTCAAAAGTTCCAGCTGAATTTGTAACAACCACGCTCCAAAAAATGCATGGGATCGGACTTTATTAACACCCTTTATTTTTAAAATAATCTCCTCTCAAATGTGAATATTTTCTTTGCAAATTGCACGTTGCATTTAAGTTGATATTAGTAGTAGTGAATAACGTGCATGGCTTACATTAGTTAATGAGCAAGCTCCTTGTAGCAGCAGCTGCTCGGAGAGAAAACTTTTTCTCCTGGTGGAGCTTTTATTTCACTGGTCTCCCATCCGCACGCTAGGGTGCGGAAGCACCTCGCTAGTAGAAGAAACTGCTAGTAGAAGAAACTTTTTTTCATTTTAATATTTTGTAAACTTTCTCTCTTTCACTCGTCGCACTTCCGCTGGAGCGGAAGTGCGACCATAAGATCATCACATGTGACCAGCACCGAAGAAAAGAATTGTTATCGGGTCAACGCCAGCGGTATCGATGGGAAGGATTGCGCGAGGATGAATCTCCAGTTAGTCAACGAAAACTTTATTTGTGGAGCATGCCCAGCAATCCCACCTGGCCCTTGGTGTAAAGAGTTGGCTCGGAAGAAGATCCACACGACAGACACTTCAGCGTCGGAAGTCGACATATGTGACTGACATTTTTCTGGGCGTCACTAACAATGCAAGTTTCCTAGCGTATGTTCTTCGATTTTGGGCAAAAATCTCCGCTTCACGTGCCTATGTACTGGGCGACCGAATCTTTCGCAAATTTCATTAATTAATTAATTATGTATGTGCTCAATTGACCCAAATTTTGTCAAAATCGGCGACCATACTCTGGGAGACCTCCATTTTAAGGGTATTTTCTGTATGTATGCAGTACACTCTTGGCGACAAGTTCATGTCGCGTGCGGCGCAAGGCGAATTCGTCTTCCTGAATTTGAAACCCGTCAAATGGAACTGGATTCCGACGTCACTGGTGGAAATTTCCTGTGAAGCTGGCAAATACCTGGTCAAACCGGGCGAGGTGGGCAATGATTAATTTGATATTTTACTATTTTCATATTCGTTATTAGTGCACTCTAAATAATTTGGACACAAATCGTCACCCATAGAGGTGCTAAAGTCCTCTATTTTTGGGTAATTATTAACCAGACGTTTTGTCACCAAAGTTAGTGTAGTACCTCCGCGGGGGACGATTTGTTCCCAAGTTTTTTAGCATGTATTCATGATAATGATAGTCTACATAAGTATTTACATACGCATTTATGTATGTATATCTTTAGGGAAATATAGTCATCAGACACGGAGAAGTCCTTAACACCACGGCCAGAACGTATCTACACTTTGGCGATGAGTTGGGGTTCATGAAATATCGTGACGACATTTCCGGTGGACTTGCCATCTTCACTTTTGATGTAGGCAACAAAGAAACTTCAACTAAAAACTACGTGGGTGTTTTATTATTGATTTTCAAAAGGTATGTTCCACACTGTTTCTGACCAAAATTTTGATGAAATAACAAACTTGAAATACATTTAGGAAGTAGTGATTTTTTTCAGCTCAATCGGTTAAAAGGAACACCCGCAATAAATCATCCAAATTTACCTCGAAAATATGCAAAAATTTACGACTTGATTCCATTATCATCCCAAAATCGTTTCCCCTTCATGCTTTTATTCAACGTTTGAAACGGATAATAATCACTAAGGGTCTAGGCTGGACTGTACGAGGGGTGGTTTATGACGGTGAAGCGTTTTTCGTCTGCAGCAGCCCTCGAAACCAGCGAGGTATTTGTTGGCGCGTTGTCGTCTAAAAAAAGGCCAACTCTTTATTTTGACCTCACGTTTCTCTTCAACCGCAGCACGCAGCTCCGTCAGGGTTCCTGCATAGGCTGCCCCATGTATTTCCAGCAAGAAATTATGTAAGAAGGGGACCTTTTGTATCATTGTAAATAGTCATAATCAATTTTTTGGCAGATTTTTACGCTTTTGCTTTCATGGGCGGTGGCAACCCCCCGTGCTCCCATTGCATGAAGTATTGTTTAGTCTGCAGGTCATGATAGTAAACCCAAGTATCATATGCAACTACTAAAATATGAAGCAGGTTCCAGTTTTCATTTAATAGGTTAAAATTGGCATTGCAAAGGTCAACTCGATCTTGTTGTTGAGATGCCGAAAGCAATTTTGGTACCCAACGGGCGGAAGCCATTTTCATACCTAAGTCTTCAGTTAACGTGGAACAAATTGTTGGTTTTGGAACACCCATCTTATCTGCTAAATTGGACAGTTTAAATCGTGGATCTCTAATTATTGGTTCCTCTAGTTTCTGGAGCCTTTCTGTGGAAGAAACTGATTTTGGGCGTCCTGGCGACTTTTTGTCCGAGACCACTTTTCGTCATCATTTGAAGTTACTGACCCAATTTATATTGTGCTTTGTGTTGGGCAGTTTTCATCGTAAACTTTAAGCATGCGATCATAAATCTGCGACACCGATTGCCCTTCCAGCGTTAAAAGTTAAATCACACTACGATATTTAATTTGCAAATCTGACATTTTTTCCGTCGAGGTAAAGTTTGCTGATTTATTGCTAGTGGTGATGTTAACCTAAAGAGCTGAAAAAAATCACAGCATCCTAAATGTATCTGAAGTTTGTTATTTCATCAAAATTTTGGTCAGAAACAATGCGGAACATACGTTTTGAAAATTAATAATAAAACACCTACGTATACTAATGTAAATATATTTAATAGCTACTATGAATTTTGTACTTTAGGAACGTGAATATGAAACTAATTGGGATATATATAGAACAATAGGACTCAATTCGAGTGAATGTCGGCCGGAAAATAGTGATGGATTAATCTTCACACCGGGACAAAATCACGTGGTACGGAAAATGCGAAATTTTACTCTGAATTTTATGTATCTTAAGTACATTATACTAAATCCGGAATAACTTTGACCAGATAACTAAAGTTTACTCTAGACATGGCATAATTTACTGAATTAAGAATTCAGAGTACATTTAGTACAATACGAAATACCCACATTATTTTTAAGAGTGCACTTTTTCTGATTTTCAGATATTCTCCCGCATTCTGTCGTACCTCTCCCTCGGAAACTTACTGAACGCCCGACTAGTTTGCAAACAGTGGGGCGAACAAGTGACCCCCCTCGTGCGGAAGAAATCCACGATAAATTTTTATTCTTGGACTATCACTCCGTCCCTACGATTTTCACAGTACGTCCATGAAATTAAGGGTGTCGCACCCTGGCCAAATTGGCAGATTCACTGCCCCTACTCCGTCCCAGGGGAAGGGGGCGACGAGAAGGGACGAGCCGCCAAGTATTTCGCTGATTTGAACTGGTTTCTTGACCCGCGCTGGGGACACCACGTGAGGACCTTGTCGCTAAGCGGGAGCATCCATTCCGACCAAGATTACGGCGTGTATATCAAAATTGTTACTTTCTTTAAGGACACCTTGGAAGAATTAAGTGTCAACTTACACATAAAAATTTTCAATGCTGATGGATACGAGGAGAACTATTCTACGAAGGATGACCTAGTTTTCAAAAATCTGAAAAAATTGGCAATCCGTATAAATCCTGATGACGCTCGATCCTTGAGAGGAAAGGAATTTTCCGCGCTTTGGATGAAAATTTGGGCAGGCGTAGTTAAAGGTTTGGATTCTATGGAAATTCGCGGATCGCCAATTTTGGGGTCAAGATTTGTACAAGAATTGCATAAAATGGGAACTTTGTCGCACATAAATTTGAGGGAGATCGTGCTAACGTGCAAGGCAGAGGATGGCCTCACTTTTCTCGCCGATGTGAATCAGCCACTGAAAAAGGTGACCTTAAGGGAACCTCTGGAAGTGCGTAACATTTGGCTCAGTTTTTCTCAAGTACTCCGATGGATAGCGCATCAAAATCTCCGATCGCACTCAAACTTTTTATACTAATTCTGTATGGGATGAAAAATATTACCCCAAACCCATTTTTCGAAATTTCAATTTTTGGCGAAATTATGGCAAATTTTCAATTTCGTTTTTTTGATTTTTTCTCTCAAATTACGAATAAACCATTCATCAAAACTATATACTGTCCTATATCATTGTATTCCTATTTTCATTAGGATCTAATTTATGCATCAAAATTTTTCAATTTTTTGAAATTTGTAAAAAGATAGTGCTAAATTCTGCTAGATTGATGATCAATTTGCGCAAAACGTTTTCATTTCCCGAGGTCAAATTTCTGAAAATAGATGCCTTTGACTTTGTAGAATAGGGTATAAAAAAATTGACATCGGGAATTGAAAACGTTTTTTAAAATTCAAATTTCAAAAAATCAGAAAACTTATAACAGGCTCTTACGTGGCGCATGTATAAAAAAATCTAGAAGCCTAAATGGCAGGAAATTAAGTGTCGTAAGCCAGTTACTTGAAAATTTGAAAAATAAAAAGTATCCAATTTTGATTAAACTTGAAAAGTATGCTCAAAATAATATTTATTTGGTTTTAAAATTATTTAAATTTTAATCCCAAAAATTGGTTTGCGGGCGTACGGAATTACGCCACTGGGAGAGTTGAGCTGTCTCATCTACCCCATGACTTCGAATTTTAGAGAGTACTTGAGAAAAACTGAGCCATTTCAAGTTTTGAGAACTTACTCAAGAAATTTGCCTCATCCTTGGAACTCCTAAGTTTTCGAGTATCTACAGAAGGCATGGCAGAAAAGTCCCGTTTCGCCCTTAATTTCCCGTGTCTTCCGAACCTGAAAAAGTTGGATTTTCACTTTGGAATCCTCAAGGAAAATTGTTTTTTCAACGATAAGGAATGTTTTATCAAAGACGTGGCACGATTTAGACTCTCGTTCCCCTCACGTTCTGGCACCGATTTTATCGACTATAATCGCCACCTTCTTTCGATTCGTTCCATCGTGGCGAGCCCATTGTTAGGTGACGTTAATGACACGGCCAGATTTTGGGACACGTACCGCGACCTGATTGACAGTCTGCTGCCAAAAAGTTGAACAAAGTTGCGGAACTCTGCGAAATTTCGAAATTCCGAGTCATGTAGAGTTTAATGCCGATACGTCAATTCTTCGAGGGAGCGAACTACTGAGAATATTTCCAAACGTGCGGAACAAGTGGATAAGAAATGATTTACAGGATATCATGGACGATTGGGGAAATTTGATATAAACTTAAATTCATTACTAAATTGAAAGTCTGTCATTAATCTGACATTGTGTAAAGCGAGTATTTTGGTTATTTTGTATGAATTACGTACGTACAAAAATTTTCAGTAGTGTGCGGATATGTATTTATGTACTTTCAAGTGGCAACGACCTGCTGTTAAGCTTTGAATGTTTTCCATAACTCGTATTAATAATAAAAATTATGGTATTTCTGTGTGTACATGCGTACCTATTAATATTTTGTTACATATTTCCATATTTCGACCCTTTATTACATCCTATGTAACGATTTATTTGCTCATGCATCATAATAATTTGCAACCGGGGGTAGAATAATTAGAAATTCAGACTTGTGTAAACAGCACACCTCCCAAAATTTTAACCTTTTTAGGGTCGAGGAGTTAATTTATGAATAAGTGCATTTCCCATTTGTGGTTGGGATTGACATAAGCACTTTAGTTGGGAACGTCCATAAATTTAGTGGCGCAAAAATTCCTATTTTTAGACCCTCACGTCCCACCCCGTTCTAATATGTGGGGCAAGTCGCGATGGCAGGAAAACTTGTACACTCCCAGCCCCTCAATCGTGACATGATTCATGGACATCCCCCCAGTTAAATTCCATGGCCGTTTTCCACAATTCTGAGAACGGATTTGGACAAAAAAGGTTGACGCTTCTGTAGTTGAGACATTTTAAGCTCGATTTTTACCAGTCGTTAAAATACTTATGTTCCTCTAATCATAAATATTATGTGCTTGAGAGTCAATGCATTTATGCACCTGCGAATTTAAATATTTATCCTTTAGAATTACCAAATTAGCAAATATATACATAAATATTTCCAGTGACAATATAACGGCGAAATAATGGCCAAAACACCTTCCGACGGTGTTCTTAAACCGAAATACAACACTGATTGCGAGATGCGGTCGGTTATCCTGCCTTATCGGGAAGGTGTTAAGGTGAGGACATACATATTTCTATGGTTAAAGTGCCTGAAAATTTCTGGGTGTTATTAAAATAGAGGTCAAATTATAGTTTTAATACATTCGTACGTAACAAATTTAGATAGTATGAAATATGCAACACCCTTAAAAATCTGGTAGTCGCATATTTACCTACCCCGTACTGCTGTTAATTTGGTAAAAGCTTACTACCGGATTAGTGGTAGGTAGCACAATTACTCCCCTTTTGATGCAATTAGCACTGCCAAACCTATGTAGCAGATTGTGTCTTTTGCAAATTTAATATTAATTAAAATTGTGATCGATTTTCTGAAAATCAGTGAGCATAGTCTGCGATACCTCCATCATAAATAAGTCTTTTTACGTTTTGCAGTACACTTTTGGCGATGAGTTCATCTCTCGGGAGGAGCAGGGCGAATTCGTCTTCCTAAATGTCAAACCCATCAAGTGGAACTGGAGTCCCACCTCACTCGTGGAAATTTCCTGTGAAGCTGGCAAATACTTGGTCAAATCGGGCGAGGTTGGCACTAATTAATTCAATATTTTGCTATTTATGTACCCTTGATTAAATAATATTTACCATACTGTATGTATTTCTTTAGGTTAATATAGTCATCAAAAACGGGGTCATCCTTGATGTCCTTGCCTACTCCGGAACGTGGCTGAATTTTGGGGATGAGTTGCAGTTCACAAAATATCATGACGACATTTCCGGTGGACTTGCCATGTTCACTTTTCAAGTAAGTAATTAAAAAGTTTATAAAATATTTGCAAGTCATATTATCTACTTGGTTTCCTTAGAAACGAGAATGCGCCACCAATTGGGATACGACAGTTGGACAAAATTCGATTGGATCTGGGGTAGAAGAAAATAGTTCTGGATTAAATTTCAATCCGGGATTAAATCAAGTAGTACGCGAAATTTGCATATCTTTTGAACCCTGATTTTTAATACACTATTTTTAAGAGTGCATACATACTTTCTAATTTTCAGATATTCTCTCACATTGTGTCCCACCTTTCCCTCGGAAACTTACTGAGCGTTCGACTAGTTTGCAAACAGTGGGACAAACACGTGGCCCCCCTAGTGCGGAAGAAATGTGTCATAAATTTCCGTAATTCGAGTACCACTCCGTCCCTGAAATTTTCACGGTACGTCCATGAAATGAAGGGCGTCGCACCCTTCCCAAATTGGACGATTAACTGTCCCTACTCCGTCCCTGGAAAAAGAGACGACGATAAAGGACGCGCCGCCAAGTATTTCGCAGATTTGAACTGGTTTCTCCACCCGCGCTGGGGACACCACGTGAAAACCTTGTCGCTAAGTGGACACATCTACTCCGACCCAGATTACGGTGTTTACATCAAAATCGTTACTTTCTTTAAGGATACTTTGGAACAATTAAGGGTCCACTTCTACATGAAAATTTTCAACGAGGATGGACACGAAGAGAACTATTCTATGAAGAAGAGTGACGATCTAGTTTTCAAAAATTTGCAGAAATTTTCCATGACCATACTTCCCTATGACTCGGGAACGTTGACAGTTTCCGCGCCTTGGATTAAGACTTGGGCGTGCGCGATTAAAGGTGTGGATTCTATGGAAGTCCTCGGATCGGCTTGGCTGGGGTCAAGATTTGTCCAGGAGTTGCAAAAAGTGGGAACTTTGTCTTATAAAAATTTGAGGGAGATCGTGCTAACGTGCAGGTCAGAGGATGCCATCAATTTTCTCACCAAGGTTAAGCAACCCTTGAAAAAGGTGACGTTTGGGGAACCTCTGGAAATCAGGGACGTTCCAAAGTTTGAGAATTTCCTCAAGAAATGTGCCGGATCTTTGCAACTTCTCAGTTTTCGAATATCTACAAAAGGCATGGAAGAAAAGTCCCGTTTCGCCTTGAATTTCCCGTGTCTCCGGAACCTGAAAAAATTGGATATTCATTTTGGACTCTTCAAACCCTACCATTTTGGTGAAGAGAAGTGTTTTATCAAAGACGTGGCACGATTTAGACTCTCATTCCCCCCACTGTCATTTGGAAATGATCGTATCGACCATGGGCGCCACCTTCCCTTGATTCGTTCCATCGTGGTGACACCGTCGTTAAGTGGGGCTGATGAGAGGGCCGAGTTCTGGAACACGTACAGCGACCTGATTGACAGTCTCCTGCCAAAGGTTGCGCATAGTTGCGAAACGCTTAGAAATTTTGAAATTCCGAGTAATCTAGAGTTTAACGTAAAAACCTCACTTCTTCGAGGGGACGAACTGCCAGACATATTTCCCAATGTGAGGAGCAAATGGATCAATGATTTGCAGACAATTAGCAACAATTAAAACATTGGGTGCAAAGTTAAATTGAAATTCGGTAATGAAATGAACGTGCATGAGTGATGCTTACAATGCGATGGTGTGAAGTGTAACCCTCCGATTTGGCTGAAATTTTAAAATTAGGTGGTCCAAGCCAATACAACTAACGTTTCTTCAGGCAGTTTGTGCGATGGTGAGAGTTACTCAAAATATTTGAGGTCAAAGTTCAAAAAACGGCCGACTTTTTTCAGGCGGAGTGAGAAAACTCCACTTCCATTCTCTTCCCCTCGCTTTGATTTTATTCAGGCGTCTCGCTCATGCATACGCCTTCATGCTCAAGCACAAGCTTTGATGCAAAATAATAAAAAATAAACATTATTAATTTTAGCTTAAAGAGCAATTAATACGCATTATACATACTTAATTTAATTTATAATTAAATAAGTGAGATTTTTACTTATTTCTAGTACAAATTGACATAAAAGTTAATTTATAAATTCGCCAACGGCAAATAAACATGGAAAAACTTAACTTGCTTTCCATTTCGAAAGCGTTGGTTATTCTAATATCCAATTATATATTAATATTTTAAATGCTCCTGTGATTCGATATTGTTGGTACTCAAGCGGATCATGGGGTGATGACGAAAAGCCCGAGTTTAAAAATGTAAGCGAAGTTTGTTTTAGAGAAAAAAATATTAGTTGCGACCTGAATTGTGGCAATCCCACATTCATCAAATTCAGCTGGTGCAGTTTATCGTATTGTTTTGTGGACTTTTATGAAAATAATCATATAGTCACATGTGGAATGAATAATTAATATTTTTCTATAAAAAATTAAATTTAAAATTGTTGAAATGAATTATTTTTCGGAGTGAAAATCAAAGCGAGGGGAAGAGAATGGAAGTGGAGTTTTCTCACTCCGCCTGAAAAAAGTCGGCCGTTTTTTGAACTTTGACCTCAAATATTTTGAGTAACTCTCACCATCGCACAAACTGCCTGAAGAAACGTTAGTTGTATTGGCTTGGACCACCTAATTTTAAAATTTCAGCCAAATCGGAGGGTTACACTTCACACCATCGCATTGTTAGTTCTTGTTAATGTAAAACGATTATTATTTTTTGTCCATATCATATCAAGTGCCTTATATCGTATCGTACTTGTTCAATTTGCAACGATAATAATTTATCAGAGGATGGATATGATTTTTTCAATTTGTTTTCAATAACCAGGTCCGAAATTTGCAAGTTTTTTCTCTAACTCTTAATAGATTATACAAATTTCATGGTTTTACATATTACTTTAACTTTGTATTCATATAAATAATCGTCATAATGATAATAATAATCAGTAATACTGATTCAGTATAATAATAAGTAAGAATTTGTGAACGATACATCTTGACGATATATCTACCTCTGAAATATATGCTCCAGAAAAGATGCATCAGTCGGCAAGCATAGGATATGCGTTTTTATTGATGAGTATAAACTTTATAAACTCAATATTGCATTGTTATACATATGTATGTACATACTTTTTATCACGCAAGTCGTCATGGCAGCAAGCCTCGTGTTTCGTAATGTTTGTTTCTTGCATTGGCGTGAAAATTCAAATTGCGACATTTACATATTAATTAAAACCAATCCCTTGCCGGATACGTAAATATCTAATAATTTTGCCGACAAACGAAAGTGTGCAAAGGTAACAGATCTGTACATACATTAGTTACATGCTTGTTTAACATTGCACAAATTTATTGAAAAATTGCCCCAAAATGTGTTGAAGACTGTATAACAAATTTAAGCACTACAGACAAATTTCCATAATGCCTAACCATTGCAATAAACAATCACTTAAGCATTGTGTTTGACAAATATGGGTCATTGCTGATAATGTATGTGGACGCTATTAACTTAATCCGACAGGTCGGATCTTACACGGATGTTCCACCCTGCCACTCATAAACAGCTACATACATAAAGGGTGTGTACAAATGGTGTATGTGCATATTTGTGACAGAGGTTAAAATACATACGCAAAATACTCAGAAAATATACAGTTAATAATGCACATCAGTATAAAAATTTTTGTGTTTTGTGCTTATTCCTTTGTGACAACCTTTGCGCGCTCATAAGGAACAAAGTTTAAACAATTAAGTTATCCATAAAATTATAATTGCACGTATGTATACAGAAATTACAGGTAAAAGTGTTCAACTTTTCACATAATGACAACTTACACTTATATCAAGTGATGGCTGTTGATACTCAATAAATTAATGTGTAGTAATTAAAAACTGCAATATATTCTTTAAGTAGATTAATGACTGAGTAGGTGATATCACGCAGGTACATATGTAAGTATAAAAGCCGACCAGAATCGTGGTTTATATATGTCAGTTGAAAAAGTCCGTACGGAGTAGACAAGTTGGTTCTTCTTTAGAATCATGAAGCTAATCTTGGTTGCCATAATAATCGTCGCATTAGCTGACGAAGGAATATCTGACAGGTCTAAAATCGATCCTCGTCTGCTCTCCAGGAAGTCATCCGAAACATCCAATATCTTCATCACCTTCCACAACGGGACCGAATACACTATAGAACATACCGGCAAGTCTCTATTTCCCGGAAGAGCTGAAAAAATTACGGCACTACACGACCGTCTTCGCGAACATGCTAATCATAGCCAGATCAATGTGATCGCCTACTTACAACGCAGAGAAAAAGGGCCAGAAACAAAGTTTCAATCTTTTTGGATTTCGAACGAGGTGTTTGTAAAAGATGTAACGATGGACGACATTACTGCCCTCGCGAAGTTACAGGAAGTTAAATTCGTCAGCTTAGAAAAAGTAATTTTGTTAGACACCATAGATTCAGGAAACATTACGCTAACAACCTTTCCAGGGGTGCAATGGGGAGTTACAAAAATCAAGGCACCTGAAGCAATAAATTTACTTAAGACCTCATCTGTTATTGCGTCTCAAGTCGTTGTAGGAGTAATTGATACTGGCTGTCGCTACACGCACGAAACATTAAGGTACAATTGGGTCGGTGAGTATGGATGGTTCGATCCTTACGATGGAAATATGCTTCCTTTTGACCTTAACGGGCATGGGACGCACGTTGTAAGCAGCTGTTAACTTGTATGATGGTTAGGTATAATTGTAAAATTTACTTATGCTAAACCTAGACGGGTACAATCTGTGGAAAAGGAGGTATCGGTGTCTACCCTGATGCAAAATGGATGGCATGCCGGGGTTGTGAGGGCCGTACCTGTAGTCAATCCAGCCTGGCTAGCTGCGCACAGTTCATGTTTTGTCCAACAAAGGCAGACGGAAGTGGCTCGGATTGTAGTAAGGCTCCAATGATTATTAATAACAGTTGGGCTGGTCCTGGTGGTCACACATGGTACTACTTATTATCCTTACTTTAATCGTATTATATAAAATTTAATAATGTCAAGGCGTTTACACTGTGAATAGGTATGATCAGTATATTGCAGCATGGCTTGCTGCCGATATTATCCCCGTCTTTGCAATTGGGAATTCTGGTACATCTTGTAATACTGCAGGGTATCCAGGGGATAATATACTTGTTATAGGCGTCGGTGGCACGGCTATTAATGACCAAATTTATTCCTTGTCCTCTGTCGGGCCCGCTTTAAATGGTGGATTGAAGCCTGATGTTTCAGCCCCTGGAGTTGACGTGTACTCTGCATCTCATCTTACTGACGACTTATACACAACTAAATCTGGTACAAGTATGGCTGCCCCTCATGTTAGCGGATTGGTAGCTATTCTACGGGCGTATAACCCTAACTTGAGTACTGCTGATGCCGTAACCTACTTGCGACAAGGGGCCGAAACAAACCTTGTATCTTCAGGGCAGACTTGTGGTGGCAAACCAGACAACATATTTCCCAATAATCATTTCGGCTATGGCAGAGTTAACGCGTTTAAGTCGCTCCAAAGCTTGATGTATGCTTCCACCCCTTTCCGATGCTTGACCGCTGGAATCTATGTAAATTCTCGTAACTGTCGCAAGTATTACAAGTGCGTTGAAATTTGGGGGAAATTGTATACGTTTGACTTGACATGCCCGCCTTGGTCTTATTTTCATAAGGATAGAAAGAAATGCATTCTTGGAAAGTGCACATAATTTTTTATGGCAGATTTACAGAATGCATAAATTTTTCTTGACGTGGCTAAAACCTAGTAATGATTAGGTTAAATAATTTGGATTTATTGGAATGCATGTACATATGTATGTAAGTGGGTACATATTTATTCCTCAAATTTTATGGTTGAGAAAATGTATTTTTAACAAATGTCTACATGTGTGTGCAAGTTTGTCATGTCAATTGTAATCCAGACCTTTACCAAGCTAAAATCCTTTAAATAAAATATATAGATATGTTCATATAAATAGCAGTTTCATAAAATCTGACATAAGTAATCTAGGATTATTTCTATTAAATCTGCAAACTGTCAACTTTGTGTGGAAAGGGTGTCCTCTATAAATCAACTATGACAAGTTGTTGCAATTTTTGAAACTTACATAGAATACAATACTCTATACAGTATTATGTATGTATAATCCTCGCTAATTTATTCTCATTATTTATGTATGAATACTTAATTTGGGTCTAAAATTTGTGCTGTATGCTTGTCCATTGTTAACAAAAAAAACATTTCTTGCTAACTAAATAAATATGCTAATTATTTAGTTAAAAAATTGTACTCGGTCCAATTTAATATTACAGAAAAGATCTAATATTTATATTAGTATTCTCGTTAATTCACAAATTCTTATCGTCAAAATTTTTATCAATCTTCGACATTGTCAATTGGTCAATATATTGACATACATGCATAAATAAATACATACATACATGTACTTAATACATATATGTACATTCTTATGCACCCTACCTAACTACGTTAATGTAAATGCTCGACAACGAAATTTTGTAAATACAATTTTACACAAGTTCGAAATTACTAGTGCTTTAAGGTTATACATATTTACATATGATTTACTTCTACATACACCACAAAAATTTAAAGCGCTTAACAGAATATTTGGATGATAAAATCATTCCACATAAATACAGACACATTGAATTACATAATAATTAAAACGTTGACATTTAAATGTAAAACAATTGTGACATATGTATTTGGCTTCTGCATAATTTTGCACCTCAATATCCGTCACAATCGCCCCCACCAGTTTTACAACAATCTTCCGATGTGCAATCTGCAGGGCAGTGTTGATTCGCATTGCATTGAAACTCGTTCCCCTTGCAGGTCCAGGCCCCTTTGTAAGTGCACTTGCACTTATGTCCGGCTGCCGGTGCGCGAGAAATGGTGCATCCGCCGGAATGATAGTCGCAGTCACAAGCTGCATGGAAATCAAAAACAAAAATTATTGCCAAACTTACAATAGAAAAATGTTTCCATCGTGGTAAAAAAATATGAATTTCTTACCCAGTGCGGTGGTCAAAGCTACCACCAACAAAATTGCGATAATTGTGGACTTCATAATTATTTTGGGGAAAATAAATGTGCTTAATTAAAATTTATATTTTTCGTGTAGATATTTATTTCTGGTTGAAATTTGTTTCGGAATTATTCCCGTATTAAATCTGTTATGAAAGAAGTCCCAATGTTTGATCTGGAAGTTTATCTTGAAAAAAAAACTTAGTTCGGAATTTTGGATAGAATTTGAAGATATACTTATTTATTCGTTTATGAAATAAGCTTTGAATTTGATCTGTGGCACTGGTAAGTGTTGCGATCCTTATTTATATGAAAGTACCGAAGTCTCTTTACGTCAAGAGGGGAATCCATGTGTTAAAAGTCATGCAATTTTACACCATGAAAAACAAATGCAGACAAATAAATGTCGTGTTTCTTCCATATCCTCGAAGCGACCCAAACTTTAACAAGAAGAAACTGGTTGTGCAAAGTAAACAAGACGTCACTGGGTATGTAAATGGCATGAGATTTGCAAAGTATCTATGTGTTACTTAAAAAGAATGAATGGGTACGGGTTATTTTGCGTATATGTATGTATATTTTTACATACATATGTACATAAGTTTGTTGTCCGTGCAAGACATTCCTGAGTTGATTTTTTTGTGCTGACGTATTAAACCAGTGTTGTTATTCGCAAAATATTTGGCATACGCATTTTACACATAATAAGTCATATCTTCGTATAATTAGTCTGCTTTTTCTGATTTGTTCAGCTGCTTCTACATAAGTTGTGAGTCCCCGCCTATATATTTCAACATGTGTTATTGGTCACGTATGCATACATAAATGTATTTAGGATAGTTCTGGATTATTTATGTAGACCGGATTTAAAGAACGTCCGGGAATGAATGGGAATGGTCTGAAAATGTGGTCATAAAATCACAATGAGTTATCGGAATTTTAAACTTTTTGCATATGTATAATACCAAATACGTACCTACATAATTTAATTAATAGCTAAGGCCGCCACACCCCCGTTGGCGACTAGTTCGATTTTCTTGCGAAGATTTTTCATTAAATTTTTTCCCGAAGTTTTTGCCACTTCCGAGGTGATTTTCTTCCATCGTCCTTTGAATTTTCGAAAGGTGTCAGGCACATCTTGAAGCCGGGAGTATACTGACTTAGAACGTGCCCAGAATTTTTCGATTGGGCGGAGTTGGGGTACATTAGGTGGGTTGATATCTTTTGGTACGAAATCAATATTTTTCTTTCTGAGGTAGGCCCTAATAAGCCCCCACTTTTAGCAATTCTTCGACAAATTTTGACCCCAGCAAGGCTAATCCGGACACGTCCAAAGAATCCACACGCTTAACTGCGCCTGCCCAAGTTTTCATCCAAGGTGTGGAAAACGCCCTTGTTAATGGCAACGTTCGCGGGTCGTCATTAGTATTTATGTAGATTGAAAGCTTTCTCAAATTTTTGAAAACCAGGTCACCCTTCGAAGAATAGATTTCTTGGTGTTCATCATCGTGGAAAATTTGCATGTGGAGGCTGACACTCAATTCTTCCAAAGTATCTTTAAAGAGAGTGACGATTTTGATATAAACGCCGTAATCTGGGTTGGAGTGGATGTTCCCGCTTAGCGACAAGGTCTTCACGTGGTGTTCCCAGCGCGGGTTGAGAAACCAGTTCAAATCAGCGAAATACTTGGTTGCTTGACCTTTCTCGTCGTTACCTTGGGCAGGGACGGAGTAGGGGCAGTGAATCTGCCAATTTGGCCAGGGTGCGACGTTTTTCATTTCGTGGACGTACCGGGTAAATCGCAGGGACGGAGTGATCATCCAAGAAGCAAAATTTATGATGGATTTCTTCCGCACGATGGGGGTCACTTGGTCGCCCCACTGTTTGCAAACTAGTCGGGCGTTCAGTAAGTTTCCCATGGAGAGAAAGGACAGAATGTGGGAGAATATCTGAAAATAAAAAAGTATGCGGTCTTAAAAATAGTGTTAATAAGTAAATAGAAAAGTGAAAGTACTCTGAATTTTAAAAGAAGTTACTAAATCTAGAGTCAACTTTAGTCTGGAACGATAAATTATTTAGTTTAGGAGGTTAATAAATATAGAATTCAGAGCGTATCTACTTATCGAAAGGATAACTATGATTTTTAATATATGATTTTTAAGAGCGTGATTTTCAATAAATATGTGTAAATCAGGAGCAGAAATTTCGTATGTACGTACCACTTGATTTTGACCCGGATTGAAATTCAATCCAGCACTATTTTCCAGCCCAGATCCACCCGAATTTTGTCTCATTATCCTGGACTGATCCCAATTAGTGGCATACTCTCGTTTCTAGAGAACCAATTAGTTACTACTAACTCGAAAATACGCGGATTATAATTTTTAGTCATTTAGTGATTTATTATTTACCTCAAAAGTGAACATGGCAAGTCCACCGGAAATGTCGTTACGATATTTTGCAAACCCCAACTCAGCGCCAAAACACAGCAACCTTCTCGCCGTGGTATCAAGGATTACACCGTTTTTCATTACTAGATTTCCCTAAAGATAGAAATACATGTGCTGTCATACATAAATATAAATAAACCTTTACAAACAAAATGAAGCCACGCGGTCATCATACGTCAAAACCAAGGCAATTTTTTAAATCACGATCAAGACAAAAAAGTCGACACGTTTGACCGTTGGTCTTTCCCCACGGCGCCATGACCTTATGACCTACAACGCCCATCCTCGAAGTCATCCATACTTCAAAAATTAGATACACAAGGAGAAAACCGCATGTCGAAATTCGTTTCTGTTCTCGTTGATACGGACAGACAGACAAAAAATTTACATAACGGTATTTCGCTTCGCTTCACGGTGAAGCCTTCACCCCTCAATAATGAATAAAATGCAAAATATCAAATTAATAACTGCACCGACCTCGCCTGGTTTGATAAAGTATCTGCCAGATTCACAGTAAATTTCCACCAGTGACGTCGGGCTCCAGTTCCACTTGACGGGTTTCAAATTCAGGAAGACGAATTCGCCCTGCGCCCCACGTAAGATGAACTTATCGCCAATAGTGTACTGCAAAAATACAACGAATAACTTAGAATAGAGGTCTTCTAGAGTATGCTTGCCAATTTTGACCAAAATTCACAATTTTGATTAATCAAAATCAATATTAATTACATTTTCTAATGTTATGGTAACGACAAATTTACCGGTCAGAAAGTAACTACTACCAATCCGGTAGTAAGTTATTACCAATTCAATACCAGAAATTTCATATTACTTAAATTTGTGAGCTATGTATGTATGTATGATAGTAAAATTTACGCAAAATTCGAGTGCACACGCTGGGAGACCTCTATTTTATGTAGCTACACCCAGAAAATTGCAGTCACTTTCACAATAAAGAATATTTCCTCGCCTTATATCCTTCCCGACAAGGCAGGATAACCGACCACATCTCGCAATCCGTATTGTATTTTGGTTTAACAACAGCATCCGTACATTTGAATATTCTTCGATGTATGGAACAGTCTTCTTTGAAATCGTTCCCCATTATTTTTAATAATTCGAGCACCGGAAGGAAAATGCAAAATGTTTAGTGTGACTACTTTTCGATATACCAAACTGCAAACTCTTTGCTCTTAGAAACAGGGTTACGATTGTTACCAAAATGTAAACGTATGTGACTCTATCGCCGTGGTGATGAATTTCAGAATTTGTCACCGAGCCGTTTTACTTTTATCCAAAGTTTGTGGAGATTAAAATCTCAAATTTCAAATTTACTTGAGAACGGATTAATTTTATGTAATTTTACGTCGGCTTTTGTTGATTGTTATGATTTCTCAGCAGCAGCAACAACCCTCTGCTCCCGCTGGCTTTGTCTTCACCTTGCTTGCATGAGCTTTCTCTCAACTCTCGGCAGGAAATACTTTTTTTCATAAGGTCTGGAAAATCACCATTTTTGCGTGACATAATTTATTACCGTTCCCCCTTGAGAATAATTAGAATTTGCACTTTTCTGCACGTGCAGAAATGAATATGTATCTTGAAGCCGGTATTCTGTTATATACCATGTAAAATTCATTGGATTGCATGGAAGTTCTACTGGGAAAATGAATAAACGAACTCACTTTTATTTTGAAGTTGTAATTTGTTTTTAGTCATGCGTACAAAAAGATGAAATCATTGTAACAATTTTTGGAAAAAATTATCTGTCAATTTAGGAAATTCGGACATGTTTTTGTATTGTTTTTTGACGTTGGATACTGAGCTCAAGTTTTTAAGGGTTAAAAGAATCTATGTTGACATATGTATGTAAGTTAATTTCTTCACAAAATATGTATGGACATATTTTGAAGAATTATTTTCATGTAATAAACTTCAAGAGAGAATTATGTACATACGTTCCATGGAAATATTTCTCGCCTGAGAATTTCATAGTTTAGAAGAAGCTCATGCAAACAGAGTGAAGACAAAGACAACGAGCACAGCTGCTGAGCGGCTGCGAAATCAAAACAAATTTGAAGTTGACAAATTTAATCCGTTCCCTAATTGCTAATACATAATAAATTCGAAATTTCAAAATCTCCGTTTCGAAACAAGTAAAAGCGCGTATACTTTAAATATTTTATAAAATTTTATGTTAGTGTGCATACATTACGCAGCGTTTATTCTAAATAAGTACAATAACAATTTCACAAGACTTTGCAACTTCAAACTTTGGAAAGATATACAAAAAATTATAAATTTCGTAACCATGGATACATAAATATTTTCGTTTTTTAAAGTAGTTTTCGTTTCGTCCTGTAAATGTGCTTGGTCGGGGTTTATGTGTATATGTGTTTATGTTTACACAATTATTTTTAACGTGCGTATCTCGACACGATTAATAATACATAATATGATTAAATATGTAGCTTAATAATTACGAATTTATTGGTCATTATGGAATAAATGGTCGCAGGATATTTTCGCGCGAAAATCACGTGCCCACTTGATTACATTGGGAGCGGGGTGAAATTCAATTTAAACCTGCGATCAGTTATTCCTTACTGTCCAATACTAGTTTAGAAAATTTAATTGATGATGATATAAAACTTTACTATTTTTGCAGAATTAAGTCCCTTCGTCGCCTTGGATCAAACTTAAAGTACAAAATTTGCAAATTTTTGAACAGCAAGTCGGATTAAGTAACATTAAAAACAAATTCCTATCGACAGGTCGACCACCCCAATTTATGAAAATGGGAGAAAACCTGACCTCCCCTGACCTCGATATGGACGAAGAAGAATGCCAAATTGTACACGAGAAAAGCACGCATATCGAATCTTCAAGTAAGTTTACCTTACTTTTACATCATGCCGAATTTTTCGTGTAGAATCATTCGCAAAATTGCGAATTTAATGGCAAATATGACAATTTATTTCCCAGGTCCACCTCGCACTTGTTGTTTCCTCTGCTCCACTCCAATTCAAGATTTGACTCCGATACCGTGCCACGTCGCGAGTAAGATCGCGATCTGCATACCATTGTTAAAAAATATTGATCCAGACAGTGCCACAAATGGAGAGGATAGACCATGTCCAGTGTGTTTGTATCAGGTGATAAAGGTGTGGAATTTGCACCGTAAGATTGTCGCCATTCAGGCACAAATCGTCACTCTTTTGACAAGGGCACGGCAAAGGTATCGAGCAGGTAGAAATACATATTTCGAAAATTTGGGCACGATAATTTTTTGAAAATTTAAAGTTATCATTGGTTAATATTGCTGGGCAGATTTGATCCCAGCTAAAAAGTCGAGGGTGGTACCACCGGCAAAAAAGTCGAGGGTGGTACCACCGGCAAGAAGGTGTCCTCTTCCCGGTCTTATTAATTATCGCTCTCCGTCCTCGCCAAGCATGGCAATCAAGACGGAATCAAACAGCACCACGGAAAACGGGATCGACATGGTGGACACTATTTTCGTCGGCGATTGGGGGGTCGTTGACGATACAAAAACCGTGGGGTAGGTGTGATATGCTTATCATGTGCGTGTAGACCACGTGGTTTTGAACCGACCACGTGCTTTACACATGGTCGTCAATATACATATGAAATATTGCACAATATATTCAGCCCTGAATCCCACGTGTTCACCCCACGTGTCGAAACGCCTGTCCAAAAGAAGGATGGCGTTACGCATGAAACTGCCCGCTACCCGTGTTCCGTTTGTGGCGAGGTGTTTGCCACACCCGGGAATAGGATCAAACATGAAGCCATTCGGTGCAATGTGGTCCATCCCCCCGACCTTTTGAAAAAGATGGATATTCGGATGTACAAATGTGGGGTGGCGGGATGTGGGAAAGTGTACGTCAAACAGAACGCCTTTGTCAGGTGTGTACTGTAAAGTTAACAAATTGGGGCATTTTTTATCCGTCTAACAATTTGTATTTACATACTCTCCATCTATGCAGGATTGAACTTTTATTAGAGGTGAGTCGGGCCTAAGATTTTCAAAGCCCGGCCCGCCCAAGCCCGACTCAAAAACCCTATTCAAAACCAAGCCCTATGCAAAGCCCAACTCAAAAGCCCGGGCCCGCCCAAGTTCAGATTTCTAAAAGCCCGAGCCCGCCCAAGCCCTATAGGGCTTGGCGTTGAGAAAGCCCGCCCAGGCCCGAGCCCATCGGGCTTTGAGCCCGGGCCCATAGGGCTTAATCGGGCTTTTTTGTTATGGCGTGACAAATTATTTATACAATTAAAAATACAATTTGTAGAGCGTTCTAAATTACGCATTGATGAAACACGAATTGATAAATGAAGAAGTTCAAATTATTTAACAAACACATTTTAAAGGTTTAGTATTCAATAAATTATTCTCACAGGGTACAAAAATAAATAAACCCAAAACTGTTGGTGTCAATGAGGTTTAGTAAACAAAAAACGTAGTTTTTATGAACGAATGTCAGGTTGGACAAACTACTGCCACTAATCCTAAGTTCAGTGCGACTGGCGGTCAACGTTAAACCGGTGCTTTAAAACACTCTCTCATCACTAGCTTGTGATGCGGGGATTGATAATATCCTTGGAGTAATTTTCTGCATCAATGGAAGGTGTGGCGCCACACCAAAATTTCAGGATATGCTGACCTCGCTTGATCCAATAGCCTCACCTTCTTTGAATATGTATCCTCTTGCATAGTAAGCTTATTTTGTATTCTCCGTCCTTTAACACTTTAGATGTGCAACCCTGCTAGTAATTTTTTCCAATATCAACAATCATTTCCATTCTGAAAATTTTTGATATTGGAATTACTTTTTAATGAAAATCCTATGAGAATACAATAATGAATTGTGAATTACAAGTATAAAATACAAATGGTGCGCTTTTGGCCAAACTTTTGACTCTCATATTACTCCTAACTCCACGAAAAATATTAGTCGGGCTTTTGAGTAAAGCCCGAGCCCGACTCAAGAAAAGCCCGCCCAGGCCCGACCCGACTCATGGGCTCAACTTAAAAGCCCGGGCCCGCCCAAGCCCTACTCAAGTAAAGCCCGCCCAGGCCCGGCCCGACTCAAAGGCCAAACTCAAAAGCCCGGCCCGCCCAAAGCCCGATGGGCCTGGGCGGGCTCGGGCTAGCCCGATTAAAGCCCAAGCCCGACTCACCTCTAACTTTTATAGAAATTGAGAATTCTGAGCAACTACGCCACTGCCAGTCTCAAAGTTCCCCGTCAGCATTATTTGAGGGAATTTGCGACTGGCAGTGGCGTAGTTTCTCAGAATTCTCAATTTCTTTAATTTTACAGAACTTTTAAGTTCAATCCTTTTAATTCAACTTTTAAGTTCAATCCTGCATGGATGGAGAGTACATATTTATGTTTCTATCTATGTATCTGCAGCCACGTCGAGACGCATGAAATTGACAAGCACGCAGAAGCCTATGCTGGCTCTGCTGAGGGAAACTTAATCTTAAACAGAGATCCAGACCCAAATGCTGTAGCTTGGGCAATAATATCGAATGAAATTATGCTTCAAAATGATACCGTGGGAAACAATTCTTGTCAAGGTGAACATTACACACATAAAATTGTATTTTAATACAGAGTATGTACTAACTATGAAATGGTCTTAGATGCGAGGGAACCAAATATTTTTGTCGGGGGACCTCCCATCCTCGGGGGGACAAGTGTTTGTCAAGATATGAAACCGACGCTAAGAATAGTTTCAAATCCCGTCATGTAAGTTAATTTTGTTTCATTATGCAAATTAACTCCGCGTTCTAGCTCCTTTGTACTGTCTTGCAACTGCTAATGTCACGAATTAAAGGGTTAAAAATGATATAACGCTGATACAGCTTTTCGAATCCAACTTCAAGATAATCGATTAAATTTATAACTATGTATGAATTCATTTTGCAACAAGCAGCTACATTTTCATGTTGCAAAATTATGGTAAACTGTCAGGAAATTTTTTCCTTCGTAATCTTTGGAATTATTGTTTTATCATACTCAACATTAACTAGTTTTTCAAATAGTGGATTTTTTTTTGATAAAAGAGCTTGAAAATTGGCGACTAAAATTCTCACAAACGGCTTATATAATTAATAATGTCCCCACTCTCAAAATTATCTTCGGTGGCCACTGACAGGAAAAACCAGACTTCTAGTAGTATCAAAATTTAACATTTTCCCACGTGTGGGACCATCCGTAAATTACGTAACGCAAAAATCGTGATTTTTGCGTTACGTAATTTATGGACGGCCCCTATTTGCTTTACAGATCTAAACCACCGAAAAGGAAATACCAGTATGACATGTGCAAAGTAGTGTTTTCAAACCAGAACAATCTCAACGTTCATACTCGAAAGGTTCACGGAAAAGAGAAGCGTGCCTGCTCCGTCTGCGGAAAAGTGTTGTCATCCCTCCAAGCTTGCGTGGCTCACGAAGCCATCGTTTGTAAAGTGTCATATTCTCCCGAATACCTCGAAGCGATGAGCGTATATTCCTGTGAGGTCGAGGGATGTGGGAGATTGTGCTATAAAAAGGTGGACTTAGAGAGGTGAGTGACAAGACGGCGAATTTTTTGACTTGGCATGATTGTGTTTTACCCTATCTTACCTATTTAACATATAAGTTCAAATAAACGTGACCCTTAGGAGAATCAAGTAGGTTAAAAATTAACCAACCGCCAAACTACATTATCTTTAATCTGTCGAAATTTTTTTCGTTTGGAATATTTTCTTAAAAAATTGAAGTTTTACTTATGTACATATGTATGTAAAACAGAATTTTATTTGTTTCTAAATGGGCGAAAACATTAAGTAAGATGAAAAACATTAGCGTAGTTGATATCGGTACGACTAGCACGTGATGCCTGCAAAGTGTCCGTTAAATAATTCGGTTATCTAATCTATCTACATATTTTCACATGAAAAATGAACAGCTAAAACTCAAATCGTTAGAATTTGAAAAAGCGAAACTTTCATTAAATGTGTATTTGTCACTTAAAAAGCAGTTACGCGAAATTCGCATAATCTGCAATTTTCCTTTAACTTTTTCTAGGCACGTCTTCAGGGCACATTGGACACATAAATAACGCACAACAGTTACAAACCGGAAGTCAGTCCTTCAGTCGCCACGATGCAAAATGATAAGATGCGGATAAAAGAGGCGGTGAATATCACAATTTGAGGATACGTAAAGTTCAATTGCTGCTAATTAAAAAAATATGCAAATGACTTGATTCAAGTCACTAATTTTTGAATTTGTAAACAAATATACAATTATTTTTTGTTAATTAATCTATCCTTAATTAAGTATTTTTCACGGTATTAGTTAATTATGTTACAAAAAATTCTGGAAATTAATGTATACATATATATTTTTTGTTCCCATTAAAAGACTAATAAAATAATAACTATATATGCCTTTGTTTCTTGTGAAAATAACAATTGTTTGATACTATGCTTCGCCTCATCACAAACTTTATGGCCACGATGTAGATCACTAAAAAATTTGAAAATAAATATATCGCCACATCTGCTGCTTCAAAATTTAGAAAACAATTAGCATGATAAAAAAATTACAAAAGGTATACACAATTAATAATGGTGTAAAAGTTGTGAATGAATTTACTAAATAATTTGAATTAAGCTTCACACCATCAAAAAAATGTCTCAATCGTCCTTAATCTCCCTTAAATCGTGTATCCATTTGTTCCCCACGTTCGGAAATATTTCCGGGAGTTGGCTCCTTCGAAGGAGTCGGGTCTCTATCTTACGCCTTAGAGAAGTAATAATTCCGAAATTTCGCAGAGTTTCGCAACTTTGTCCAAATTTTGGCAAGAGACTGTCAATCAGGTCGCCGTATGTGTCCCAAAATATGGCTTGCTGATCCCCACTTAAAATCGGTTTCACGACGATGGAACGAATCGAGGGAAGGTGGCGTCCATAGTCGATACAATCGTCACCCGTACGGCGGGAATGAGGGAATGAGAGTCTAAATCGTGCCACGTCTTTGATAAAACATTCGTGATCGTTTGAAGAGTAGATTCGTTTGAATGTTCCAAAGTGAAAATCCAATTTTTTGAGGTTCGGGAGACACGGGAAATTCAGGGCGAAACGGGACTTTTCCGCCATGCCTTGTGTGGAAACTCAAAAACTGAGAAGTTCCAAAGATGGGGCAAATTTCTTGAGCAAATTCTCGAATTTGGAACATCTCGTATTTCCAGAGGTTCCAGAAACGTCACTTTTTTCAAGGGCTGGTTCACCCCAGCGAGAAAATTGATGCCATCCTCTGCCTCGCACTTGAGCTCGATCTCCCTCAAATTCTTGTATGACAAGGGTCCCGATTTTTGCAAATTTTGGACAAATCTTGACCCCAGAGAAACCACGGGTAGAATGGACATAGAATCGACCCCTTTAATCGCACCTGCCCAAGTTCCCATCCACGGCGTGGTAAAGTTCTGTGCCGTCAACAATTCGTGGTGTCATGGGACTCTATGCATATTGAAAACTTTTTCAAATTTTTGAAAACTAGGCCACCTTTCGTAGAATAGTTATTTTCCTGTCCGTCTTGATTGAAGATTTTCATGGAAAAGTTGATCCTTAATGATTCCAAGGTGTCCTTAAAGAAAGTAAGGATTTTGATATATAAGCCGTAATCTGGGTCGGAATAGATGCGTCCAGTTAAGGACAAGGTCTTCACGTGGTGTCCCTAGCGCGGGTTGAGAAACCAGTTCAAATCAGCGAAATACTTTCTTGCCCGTCCTCTTTTTCTTGCACGAATGGACATTTAATCTCCCAATTTGGCCAGGGTGCGACATTCTTCATTTCATGGATGTACCAGGAAAATCTCAAGGATGGAGTGGTAAATTCGGTGGAGCGATGATATCTTATAATGCATTTCTTGCGCAGGATGGCGGACACGTGTTCGTCCCACTGTTTGCAGATGAGTCGAGCATTCTTCCACAGAATATAGATTCTACCCAAGGCCTGACAGGAGCAGGTTAATTGAATGGGTGATCTAAAATTGCATGCGAACGAGCCACCATACCGACAGTCCTCAAACTAAACCACAACTAAACAGACTAAAATGACGATTTACTTCTTGTATGATGGCTCTCATGTTGGGGAAAAACAAGCAGATCGGAGTGGGGTCCATCCAACCACAATGTGTATCTAAGTTGGTTTATTGACCGTGGTCAGAAACATTAGTTAAGAATTACTTAAAAATTATTTCGAAAATATTTGTCATGAAGAAATAATGAGAATTTGAAGGTTATCGTAATTTGGTAACAAGTTTGGTAACATGCTACCTGTACCTGACGTTGAAACTGAGTCTCAACAACCTCACAGAATTTTATACATACAATGCATGCCTTGTATGTGTTGTATATAACATTCTAGTGATGGTGGTGATGAGTGATGACGTAATGTTTATGTTCTCAACCAAATCAAAACATCACGTGGCGTGCATTCTCGCTGAACAAACAGCAATGGTACTCCCTCTGCTTATATTAATAAAACTCTATGATTCTACCAGAAGAATCGATCTTATGTATTCGAGTGCCGCTTATGGAAGAACGGGGAGAGCCAACCAAATAGCTCGGTGTACATTTTGCCCCCCTGGGGGATGGCACCTCCGCATCATCATCATCACCACATCTCCTGGCATCAAAAAATGATGATGAAAGCACATAGGTGGCGGTGGCACCCCCATTTGTGCACCAGAACACACCATTCTGATCTGCGTCTCAAAAAATTTGATGCTCTACGAGGGTACCACCCTGCACCCACCCACCCACCTCCAAGCGTTACGTAGTTTATGGACGGCCCCTTACATGCGTACATATTATGTGCACATTTATATGCACAAATTTTATGTGTGTATTATTACAAACTGCAAGTGAGAATTGAATTCTCAGAATTATGTAAATACATAAATACGTTCCATGGAAATATTTCTGGGCTGAGAATTTCATAGTTGAGAAGAAGCTCATGCAAACAGAACGAAAACAAAGACAACGAGCACAGCTGCTGCTGTGGCTGCGAAATCAAAACAAATTTGAAGTTGACATAAAATTAATCCGTTCCCGAATAAATTCGAAATTTCAAAATCCCCAGTTTCGAAACAGGTAAAACGCTTATATTTCTATTTTTGTTGAATTTTTACACTGGTGTGCATACATTACGTAGTGTGTATTCTGGATAAGTATAACAATTTCACAAAACCTTACAACTTTGGAAGGACACGCAAAAAAATTGAAATTAGAAATTTTGTAAATAATTATTGACGAGTTCGTTTTGAAGTACATAGTATTCGTTTTAAACTGGAAATCTGTTTAGTCGGGGGTTACATAGATACATAATTATTTTTAACGTGCATATCTTGTCACGAATCGTTTAAACGATTAATATGTAGATATGTCATAATTAACTAGTGTAGTAAATTTAATTAATTGATGATAATTGTAAGGGGTTTTGTTTGGAAACAACCTTACGAAAAGAAATGAAGGATAACCAGTGGGAGTTTTGTTAAATAATGAAAATATAAAGTTTTATTTCTAATTAGGCATCATTCATGTTGCTTACATACTAGCCGAAATATTCATAATGTTAGTTTCCGAAATATAAGGAAACCAATCTGCCCGTCCCAGGCGTCACGGGAGCAAATCTCATGATCAAGGAAATTGGAGTGTTAGTGATCATACATATATTTAGTTATGCAACCGTCGCGGTTGCATGGAGAGTTTTGTTGCAAATGTCACGGTTGCAAACCGAATGATCCCAAGTTGGGCTGGAGCTCGTCCTTTTATAGGGGACCGGCTTGCTTAATATGTAAATAATAGCTAACTAATAACTAACTAATAACTAATGTGTAGGTTTGATCTCAATCTCAGAGATCAACCGAACTTAACAACTAATGATAATGTAAATTATTAGATTGCCTGTCTCGGGCAAGTAGATAATGTAGATTTGGTTGTCGCAACCAAATCTACCTAAAGTAAAGTTGAAGGTCTCACTTCATATAATGTAAACATTTACTATTTTTTTTGCAGAACTATTTAATTCCTTCCGTCGCATTGATCCAAATTTCCTTAGAAGGTTCGGAACAAGTAAGGAAGTAAGAATCCTTGAATCAAACTTAAGGTACTAAATTCGCATATTTTTAAATAGCAAGTCGGATTAAGTAACATTGAACAAATTCCTATCGACAGGTCGACGACTCCAATTTATGAAAATGGGAAAAAACGTGACCTCTCCTGACCACGAGATGGACGAAGAAGAATGCCAAATTGTGCATGAGAAAAGCACGCATATCGAAGCTTCAAGTAAGTTTAGCTTACTTTTAAAACATCATTGGCAAAATTGCGAATTTAATGGCAAATATGACACAATTTGTTTCCTAGGTCCATCTCGTACATGTTGTTTCCTCTGCTCCATTCTAATTCAAGATTCCACTCCGATACCATACCACGTCGCGAGAAAGGTCGCGATCTGCATACCATTCTTAAAAAATATTGATCCAGACAGTGCCACTGCCACAAATGGGGAGCATAAAGTATGTCCAGTGTGTTTGAATCAGGTGAAAAAAGTATGGAGTTTGCACCGTAAGATTGTCGCAATTCAGGCACAAATCGTCACTATTTTGACAAGGGCACGACAAAAGAATCGTCCAGGTAGAAATATTTCAAAAATTCGAACACAATAATTTTAAACACGAAAATTTGAAATTATTATTGTTTAAAATTTCTGCACAGATCTCACCCCCTCCAAAAATGCTGACCAATCAAACGTAGTACCACCACCTCCGGGGGAAAACGGTCATCCAGTCAGTCATTCCCCATCGTCGCCAAGGTTTTCTTGACAATCAAACTTCTAGCAAATCTGTGAATTCAAAAATAAATGTTAAAAACGTTGTTATAAATTTTGCGACTACAAAATTTACCGTCGCCATCAAGACGGAATCCAACAGCACCACGGAAGACGGGATCGACATGGTGGACACTATTTTCGTTGGAGTTTCTGCTGAAGAAAGCGTCGCTGACGATACAAATAACGTTGAAATGTTCGGGTAGGTGTGGTGTGATAAGCGTTGCTTTGACCATTTGCGTGGTGTTATTAAACGAACCACGTGCTTTACACATGGTCGTCAATTATATACTTAAATATGTAAATATGTACATTCAGCCCTGAATCCCACGTGTTCACGCCACGTGTCGAAACGTCACTAGCCATTTGTCCAGAATAACGACGACGTTGCCCGTGAAACCCCCCACTACCCGGGTTCGGTGGGGAATAATTCCTGTCAAGGTGGGAATCACATTAATTTACATACACACACAAAATTTTATTTTAATACAAAGTACGAACTACGAAATGATCATATTTAGACGCCAGGGAACCAAATATTTTTGTCGGGGGACCTCCAATCCTCGGGGGGACCAGTGTTTGTCAAAATATTACAACCGTCCCGACATTAAGAAAAATTTCAAATCCCGTGATGTAAGTTTATAAATTTTGTTACCATGCACAACTCCGAGTTTAGTGCCCCGGCCCCCCGTTGCGTAATTTATATACATCACCTATTTGATTTACAGATCTAAACCTGAGAAAAGGAAATACCAATGTGACACGTGCAAAGTAGTGTTTTCAAACCAGGACAATCTTAACCTTCATACTGCAAAGACGCATGGCAAGCTTTCCTGCTCTGTCTGTGGGAAAATGTTGTCATCCCCACAAATTTGCGTGGCTCATGAAGCCATCGTTTGTAAAGTGTCGTATTCACCCGAATGCCTCAAAGCGATGAGCGTATATTCCTGTGAGGTCGAGGGATGTGGGAGAATGTACTATAGAAAGCAGGACTTAGAAAGGTGAGGGAGGGGTGATAATTGAATTTTTGTTTAACCCATTATTTTTTCAAAAAATTAGTTTTCATTCAAAAATCACTTTTTATTTTTTATTTTTTATTTACATTCCATCATTTTCTTTGATTCAGTCAACTCATTTCATTTCATCGGACTTCATTTCTTAAATATCGATTCTTCGCCCCATGTATTAAGCATAGGGAGAAAAATGAAATCTGTGAGAATCCCTTTCATTCAGAGCCATTCATATCAGCTGAAGAAATTCTTGCGGCATTTTCATTTAAATAGCATGAAATTCATTTTCATTCACTATCATAATCAGTCAAATGAATGAAAGTGAACTGGTATGATTGTAACTAGTCCTAAATACGTTTGCCTGACAATGGAACCTTTTTTGAAACTACACCGAGATTGTCTGGGAGCCATAAATTAGGAGTCATATGACACTTATCTTTCCGTTGAATGGACCATTTGACAAATATTGGAGGTCACAACTTTGACGCCAATATTTTTCCTCAAATGGGTCATCCAGTGGAAAGATCAGTGTTGCATGCTTCCTAGTTTTTGGCTTGATTTTTTGATATAACTCAGTACAAAATTCACATGTATGTAGTTTGAAACATAACTTACATGAAATGTCTTTGCATAATAAAAACAGTTTAAACATTTCAGAATTTGATAAGTACATTTTCAGAAAATTCGATGTTTAAAGCTACAGATAATTATGCAGTACTTGAATAATGTGTGCAATTTTCCTTTAACCTTCTATACTTTTTCTAGGCACGTCTTCATCACACATGGGACACATAAGGTTAAGGTACAACGGCGACAAAACCGGAAGTCAGTGCTTTAGTCGTCATAATGACAAGATGCGGATAAACGAACCGGGGGATATGGATATCAAGATTTGCGGAGCCGTAGAGTGTCGTAATGTTTAATATTTCTGTTGCCAGAAATTACCCAAGTGACTTGATTTAAGTCACAAATTGTTGAATTTGTACACAAACGTGCAATTATTTATTAGATAATTAATGTTTGCTTTATTTAAGGATTTTTCATGGGTATTGAGTAGTTGATTATTTTTAAAAAATTCTGGAAATTGATGTAAATATGCTAAGTACATACATATATTTTTTGTTCCCCTGAAAAGGCTAATAAAATAAAATACACTTGTCCAAATTTGGAATTGAAACTTGTCGAACGTGAACTTCACGTTGATTATTATGGGCATCGGAAATTTATGAAAATCAGAAAACTTGTACCTGTAGCTATTTTTCAAATATGCACTTAATGAAGTCTATAATTCGATTTAGCACACTCTTAAAAATACTCATACCCTCTAATACAGTGTCGGACAGATGTCTACGTCCAGATAGTCGCGTCAATTTCATTTTCAAATTGTCACTGAACTACTGAACCAATTTTCATCATTGATATATCAAATTCTCACAAATTTAACGTAATTTCATAGCACATTATTAGTTTTCCGCTAAAAAATTTATTTTAGGCCAGAGATGTATTTTAATTCAAAATGAAAACAATTGGATGGACAAAAATCAACGTCCAGTCAGAGAAAACATACAAAAAAACTGTAATTTATAAGGAATGTTATAACAATTAATTTTTAATATTTGGTTGGGCCTCCGTTCGCTTTAAGGACGGCTTCAAGGCGTCGAGTCATAGAGTTTACCAAATTCTTGGTCACATCTTCAGAAATGGTTTCCCAAACTTCACGAATTCTGGATTTTAGGCCCGGAATTCCTGAAAAAGATTTTTTTCTTATTTCTCTTTCAATGTGGTCCCACAGATGCTCAATGGGATTCAAGTCTGGAGATTGGGGAGGCCATTCTAGCTTCGGAATTTTTTTTTCTTGAAGTATTCCATGGTGGACGTGGCAGAGTGTTTCGGATCGTTGTCTTGTTGGAAGGCAAATCGTCGTCCAAGTCCAAGTTTTCGAACAGATTCCTGGATATTACGGTCAAGTATTCCCTGGTACTTGTATTGGTCCATAATTCCGTCAACAAATTCCATTTTTCCTGCCCCACTTGAAGCCATGCATCCCCACACCATTACCGACCCGCCGCCGTGCTTAACTGTGGGGTTGAGATTTTTTGGATTCAAAGCTTCTTTTGGATATCTCCACACTCTACGACGCCCATCTGACCCAAAGACATTGAACTTTGACTCGTCAGTCCATAAAATATGTCCCAGAATGTTTGTGGCTTGGAAATGTGGTCTCTGGCAAACTTCACTCGTTTGGTTGCATTCCTCGGTACAATAAGAGGCTTCCGGACTGCTCTGTGGGATTTCAAATTTCCCTTATTCAGTGTTCTTTGGATGGTCATAGGACTAACCTGTTTGCCGAACATCTCCTTGATCTCGGTAGATAGCTTTGGAGCACTAAGTGAGGGTGTAACGTTGACTTTGTTGAGCACGTGGCGTACTTCTCGGTGAGCCAAAATCGGTTTTCGACCACTTCTGACCTTGTTTTGGACTGAACCATTAGCTCTAAAGTTCTTACTGATTGTCTGGATGGTTGTCCTTGCTAATTTATACTTGGTCCCTATTTGTCTCTGCGACAGCCCCCCTTTTTGTCCACCCTTCCAGTCCTGAATGACAAGATCTCGAATAGCGATAGGAATTTCCTTGCGTGTCGACGCCATCATATTTTTCTGGAAGAAAATTATTTAAAAATTAATGCGGCATATGTTATTGATAGATTTATTAAGTTACCTGATTTTATAAATTGGAGAGATTTTTGTTGTTGACAATTAAAGTGAAGTGGACGTAGACTTTTGTCCGCTCAAATTTCATCCTCTCTCGCTCTGCACTATGATTCTCAGTTTTCCCAGAATTTTCAGAAATAACTCATATGTTTTATGAAATTACGTTAAATTTGTGAGAATTTGATATATCAATGATGAAAATTGGTTCAGTAGTTCAGTGACAATTTGAAAATGAAATTGACGCGACTATGTGGACGTAGACATCTGTCCGACACTGTAAGTAAATGAATTCTCGATTCAATGAAGTGAACTAACAATTTTAAGTTACTAAGGATAAGTCGAGAGTTAACAATTTATAAAGAGTAAAGTTTAATCTGGCTTTAGTATAGTTTAATGAATACACAATTTAGTATGCATTTACTTACTTTCTCACAAAAAGGTAACACTATTTTCAAGAAAGAAGGAATGAATAATTAAATACATACATTCCTACTTATGACTTCAAATATTGACTAAATGAAGGAAAAATATGATATGTGTAAACGGACAAATTATGCAATATTAACACATGCATTGAACATATAATTGTAAAGTTCAAAATATTGGCAGCGTAACAAATTTATTAATGGTTGAATTACAGTTATTTAGCTATTATTTAATTGCATCAAGAATCAATACATCTCTGCGTAAAGTATTACAAAATTTAAGCTAGAGTTAGACATAATTTATATAAATCACGGAAATAAACTTTTAATCATTATTACTTCAGGTTAGTCAAGTGTAAAGTTTAAACAATACATTTTAAATATTTCACACCCTTTAAATAAAGTTGCGTAAAATTCATTCAAGGTTTAGTGAAATAAACCGTAGTAACGTTAGAAGTAGCTCACCCTGCAATATAAATTAGGATGTATACCATTTTGCACCAATGGTGCCGAATAAGTGCACAAAATAAGTATAAAACTCTATAATTTGATTCTAATGGTGCATTATAATCGGAATATGTAGGTGTAGAATTTTGAGATTTTTTGCATCAATAGTGTATCATAAGGCGACAAAATAAGGTTCATAATGATTTAGACATAACTTTGCACCAAAGGTGCGGAATACGCCGACAAAAGAGATCATAATGTTTATATATTCATGCATCAAGGGTGCAATATAAACGGAAAAATGAAGAAAAGGTCGAATTAGTATGCACCACCTGCGCCGCATTATCGACCAACCGTCATCCATAAGTTTGAAAACTTTATGTCAAAATGATATTATTATTTCTCCCGGATATTTTGCACTATTGGTGCATTTTGTGTCCCTTCCCTCAATTATTTCGCACCATTTTGTGTTACCGATTATTAGATACTAACACTGCTATTAATTTATCAAAAAATACACCTGGTACATTTTAATTAGCATCAATTGATACAAAAACGTCGTTAAAGAGGAACTCAATAGCTCTCGTGCTACGCAGGGTGAGCTATTATTGCATGGTTCTACACAACTTGTGTAGAACCATGCAATAATTGTTAACTAATGGTGCAAAATAAATAGTGAAAATTGATACATAAGTTAAAGTTTGCACTAATGGTGCAGCAGAAATGGGGAAAATTGGTGCATACTTTTGACATGATTTCGAGGTTTTCGAGGTTACAAATGAAAGCAAAAGACAAACGAATAACATGCCCCATTGATGCGAGTTGCATCGGTTCGCCCATATTATATAACGCACCATTTATCGTTCCCGATTGTTCGTTCCTAACGGTGCCAATAATGTCAAAAAAACTTGAGCGGGACACAAATAATTAGCATCAATTGATGCAAAAAACTCGTGAACAGACAGACAGACGGACGAGAGGAATTCAATAGCTCTCATGCTACGCAGGGCGAGCTAATAACAGAAAAATTAGGTAAATTTTATCCAGCATTGCGTAAAATTGCACGGTTGCATGGTTGGATAAATTTTGACCTTCATTTGACTAAACTTTTAGTGGATGTGTACTACATATATTTATATAAAATAAATTTATATAAAATGTAAAATATTTGCAACAGCTAAATAAATGCGACAATTATAATTCAGTTAATGCTTCGCTTTTCTCTCACTTCACTTGCGTGGCTATAAAATTAAAGTCAGAATTCACGCACATCCATGACGACGACATCACTTTTCTGGAGCACAATCATTACCATCGATTAAGGTTGCAACATAATTTCTTCTTTATCGTTTTACTCTATGATTAAATTGCAAACAATAAATTTTGACCATAACTATACCACGTCATGGCCTGGGATCGACGGACAGTACAAGCGACCTGATCAGACATAAACCCATCGTTTTGGTAGCACCCTTTCCACATCACAGAGCGAAATGGCTATACACCAGAACGGAAGAAAGTCCACGAGCATTTGTTTGAAGATATTTTTGCATATTATTAGTTCTTAGGGTCCAATTTTGCCTTTCGCCAAGGTTCCCAGGGTCATAACTTTTTTGTTTATGGACGGATTTGGCTGCAATTTTTATGATAGGTCTGCAATCCCATGCACTACAATTTTGACCGTGGCGATTGACTCTAAACCCTCTAGGGAAAAACCACACCCAAAGTGGGTGTGGCTCTTTAATTTTTTTACACGCATGCCTATGGGCCCTAAGAACTAATAATATGCAAAAATTTCTTCAAACAAATGCTCGTGGACTTTCTTCCGTTCTGGTGTATAGCCATTTCGCTCTGTGGCACATGACGCGCGCTTTGACCCGCCAAACTTCCCGCCCAATAGATTAAAAGTGCTCCACATCACCTTAATTAATAATGTAACATTAACTAATTTTAGAAAAATGGGAACCTTAGCCATGCTCGAAGACCAATGGGAGTGGATGGACAACCACGATCGCGAACAATTTGTGTTCAACCTAATTCATATGATGCCGGAAAGTTTTATTAAAAAAGGGACTAATTACTGGAGAAAATAGAGTAAAATAGCTCGGAATATTCGTAGAGATGCTGAACTCTATCGACCCCTAGAGGTGTATCAGAACCGTTCACTTGTCTTCTGCGAAGACAAGATTCCAGCAAACGAAAACATCTTTTTAAATGTTAAGAAAATAACTCTTCGATATCATTTCAACCCACTTGCACAACACCCTTTAATTGACCTTAATGATCAAGTCAACGAAGCCCTACATGTTATCTCCGTGACCCCAACAACCACTTTTATGCCGCAGCCTCCATTGCCATCGTCAACGACCAGAATGATGCTATTCTGCTCGCCTTAATTAAGTGGCCTCACAATGTAGTGTACACTTATAACACTCCCATCAATGGGTTAAGCCGAAGCAATCTTGTCGACGGATATAAGTTTGAAACCATTCAGAAACTCGTAGTGAAGTGTATATCAAATAACAAAGATGTCGGCCATAATCTAGAAAAGGATCTAAAATCGTTACTCATCTGCTCAAATAAGTACGAAGCCTTAGCAGACTACTATACTGATAAGAAGGCCGCTCCCACACTTTACGGAACCGCTTCCCACAAACTATTCCTGGACGCTACTCCAAACGCCTACTCCAAACGAAGCAAATATCACCAGTTTTAATAATATTGCTATTACCAGTAGCAATATATTTATAAGTCGATAAAGTGTAAATACTTGTGACAGAATTATGTAACATAGCATGCAATTCTAAGTTGTTAATTACATTCTCATGATCAGACGTCGGATATGAATGACCGATAAAACCTCAAAATATGAATGAAAAATGACCGTAAAAATCCCCAAAATATGACCATCAAAATGACTATTTTTTTAATTTTTGGCTTAATTTTTTGATATATTTTCTTGTAATGCTCAATTTTTATCAAATAAACAAATTCTGGGGTGATTTCATGCATTCCCAATGAATTAAATCACCTTAGGCGAAAGTGAACGTAAATTTCTGAAAGTTTCTCACAATGAATAATTGTGAGAAAACTGAATTTTTTGTCATTTTCTGTCGATTTGGTTGCCAAATCTTATAATTTGGCCAAAAATGATAAATGAACCAAAAAACCCCGAAATATGATCGGGAATATGAACATGTCCTAAAACCCGAAAATATGACCAATATGAGAAAATATGCTTTGACCTACGTGAGCTACTAGTGACCATAAACATTATCAGAAAGTTTGGCGACTGTAGGTCAATAAATGGAGAAAGTCATTTTTCATTCATATCCGACGTATGCTCATGATCTTCGTTGCAGATGATAATGCAATTTGACAAAATGCAAATGCATAAAACCCGTTAGATTATCAGAAAATACGAATCATAAAAATTGTATAATATGGGACAAATTAAACTCAAATCAAATTAGCAAATGCAAATAGAAAATCACACAGTGTAAGTATTTGCAAGTCGTCATTTGGGCGTGCAATTCAGGCGTTATTTAGAGAGTGAGTGAACGAGGCTTTGATTAATAAAGCCAATCTGATTACTAAAAGTGGCTGCAGTCTTCCTCAACTTAATTAGTTATCGTTTCCATCTATATCTTGGTTCGGACCTTACAAAATTAAGTAAATACGATTCACACAATTATAACTTAACATTTACATATTTTGCTATTATTAAGCTTCGGCAAAATCAATAAAATATTAATACTGATAACAGAGTTATTTTCCCTGTGCATCTAATAATTTCTTTATTAAGCAGCTTTAATAAACAACAAGCGTAAGTAACTTGTTCAACAAGTTTTTACCTGCAGATTGTAATTAATCTTTTGGCAAAATCCTACTGCATAAAACTCACTCGGGTACCCCAGAACATTCTAAGACAAATAGATAATAACACTTGATCTGCGTGTTTTAGCAGATCAAGCAGTGAACCTAAACGAAAAGTTTACCCCGATTTTGAGGACTACAATTGGGGACTCAACTAATTTGTCATTGTACCTGCACTATTTGCACGTCTTCCACTAAGGCCCAGGTTATGTACACATCCCTGCATACCAAAATAAATGCTATGCATATAAACATACATTTGTTAAATACATATGTAAATTTTAAGCAAGTTCGTTCCCTACAGTTTGGCTTTCAGCTTTTGTTACTTTAATTTGAACACGCTTGAGTTGATGTTCAAATGCTTCTAAATACTATGATTCGCCGCAAGTCAGGACGTTTAAAAATAATGTTTTTAAGTAATAAAGTTTCACTCATATTAATTAAATTGTGTGTAAAGCCAAATTTGTGCATATATGTAGTCTAAATTTGGATCGGATAGTTTAGGTCAACAACTTAAGGTTCATTAAAAACCCGCTATCCGATTACGCCAATTTCTGTATTGCATAACTTCCTGACAAATTTTCCACGTGGAATGAAACCCTTAAAAAGCTGACAGTTTAAGACGTACGATAAAATATATATTAAATTAACTAGTCTAAACACATATGTTTCTATGTATGCATATTGTAAAATCGTTGCTAAGTAATATTGCAATAGATAGTACTATTTCTCACTGCTTAGTTGTTGGTTAAATTGTTCGTGCTGGTGTCCTTTATTTATACTTGACGCCAATATTGGAAATCATGCTTGATTTTCTTAATTCGGGGAGGTAGCCATTAATTGTCTTGAACGTCAAGGAGACGAAGATTTTCCTCCACACGTTGAGTTCCGTTCAGTAAAGGAACCAGTTACGTATTATTGATTCACACTGAAATACAAAGAAGAAAAAACAATATAAATTGTGTATGTACTTTGTCTCAAAAAATGTTTATCTTTTCATTGATAACGTTTGTACAATATGTACGTACCTGCGTACCTAAATTAATTTTGAAATTCCATGTAAGTTGGTACAGTTGGATGGTTAACTGGTTGCATTCGGTAACCTTTGGACATACATACACATCAAATTTAAAAATACATGCTTTAGTACATATTTGCAGTTCTAACTCTCGAATAACAAAGTAAATATGATCACTCTTAATAATATACGATGATACGATTATCACCAGCTAAGGTACACTCAAAATAAGATAGTAATGAATCCTTACCATGCGGAATGACTATGTGGCTCTACCACGTCGGTTACGATTTGTAGTAGAAATGGTAATAATAAGTTCAGGGAAATTCAAATTTAATACATAATGGTATTCACTTCCTAAATATTTGGTAATGAATTTGAATTTCCCTGAACTTATTATTACCATTTCTACTACAAATCGTAACCGACGTGGTAGAGCCACATAGTCATTCCGCATGGTAATGATTCATTACTACCTTATTTTGAGTGTACTGTGCCATTCTACTTCTACGGTTTTTGAGTTATTTTCCGTTGATGACAAAACATACCGTTAATCACTGCCCAAAAATAAAGCATTTTACGTACCACGTTAATGGTGTGAAAATTGTCCTGATTATTTTAGTGAATATATTTCGACTCTTCATGAGTCTGCTTAGCGCAGGGCTGGATTTTTTACCTCTATTATTTTTTTCTAAACGTACTAAAAATTTTCTCAAATTTTGCACAAACTTGGTACATGTAAAAACATTAACGATGAGCTATACAAAGTTCGACTTAATCTATAATAACACAGAACTAAATCTGAGCCAAAATTACATGAAATATGTATAAATTAAAATTAGTGCATTTGAATTCATTTAATAAAATACTTTTCAATACGAAACTTTATTACCTGCGATCGCAACACAGCCACATTTTTCCAATTGAAATAGATTATTTCAACTGTATTTGATTTTTATAATACGTCACAAAACGATCTTCAATATTTCGCAGTTATTTTATATGTACATGTTTTTAGTAAAATTTGCACATTTTGGAAGTTAAATAATTGTTAAACTTTGTGCAGCCGGAGCTGCTAGGCAGGCAGTTGCCTAGCAACTGGCCATAATACGTATGTTGACCTCAGGATTATCGTAAAACTTTGTGAATGCATGAGCCATAAATACCGAGCCGAAACAGTCGTTGATGTTTATTAAACCAGTATTGTGGAGAGAATGATGATCGTAAAAATGTGCGATTTAATCGCCGGACCACATCAATGGGTCGTGCATAAAGGGTGGGTCAGACTTTAGAACACTTAAACACAAATTTTGCTGCATGCTTTTCCAGAAATGCTGGTCTTAAACTCATCTTCGAAAAAGTAAAAAATAATTAAAATCTCGAATTAAAATAATAGTCAGTGCATATTGTGAAAAATCTGGAAGAGTCAGATACATACTCCGTACTAGTACTGATTTAGTGATAACTTCCTGTCGGAGTGGTCAGTTTGTTTTGAGGTGGTAAATTTTTCATTACGACAAAACTAGCGAACCGTAAAGACAGTAATGCTCATTATTACCGATCCTTTAGAGTCATCTACTCTAACCAGCAGGAATTTAATAGCAATTCTCTACGTACATATATATGTATGTATGTAAGCGTTCATCAATAAATTACTTCCGATCCACGCTAGTAATTCATTATGTACATAAGTATGCAGTTGGTTAGGACTATGAGGTGTGATATGAAAGAATAAAAAGATAAATTGCTGCAAGCTTCATGCATCTCCCCGTGTGAAAGTTTGTGATCTACATGCCAGCTTTAAATAATGCATATTTACGATTTTCTTCCCCCAAAGTACAATGCTGGGGCCACCGTCGTTGAAATTGTTTTTGAAAAAAGCGAGCAAATAGTGAGAACAATGAAAATAATACGTTATTATAACCGGCACGTAAAGGTACGTATGTATGTACATGTGCGTATATTTACGTTCTGGTTGTAATCGTAATTAGGTATATTTATATTCAGCGCATATGTACATATATTATGTCAATTGTACATGCATGTAAACATTTGCATGACAAAAATCTTTCAACGAGACGAATCAAGCCGGATTATTTTCATGAAAAAGTGAGATTCATCCGGGTATGCTTGTCAAAGGAAAGGATTGAAAGCAAGTTGAATGCATACATGCGACCAGTTTTTTATGCGTCACTTTTAATGTTAATCAGCAACTGGTTAGTTACGAATGGGTAAAGAACGACTAGATTTATTCATTATTACTGGAAATAATTTAAATTTAACGTATTTAACTATTGACAAATAATTTCATTATGCATTCTGTAAGGTTGTGTGGTAGATATTAATAGGTTAGTCTAATATTACATGAAAATCACGAATTGTTTTGCATACATTTAGAATTATTATATTTATTCTTATTTCCCTAAATTATAATTTTCATGCTTATTCTAAATCATATATATATTGTTTTAACTTATGTATTTATACATACTTAATTAGGACTAGATACATACATACATACCTACATACTTATTTAACCTTACTGAATAAAATAGTGCATTTATTTTTTATACATATATGTAAAAAGTGCGATCGAACATTATTCAGTTTCCTTTCAAATAATACATGTAATTCAATCACATGAATGCCGTTAACTTTTACGCCTTCTTATTGACACCGTCAAAGCTACATCCTAGCATTGTAACTTTACCAATTGCCTTCAAATTCTTCGAATTACAATTCACCAATTGAATATTTTCTGGGTTTCCAACAATTATAATTGAATTCTTGCCTTCAACATTATTTAGTACTGTACCTTCCCCAGTGACCACAACGTTGTAACAAGTACAATTTTTGACGATGGTATTCGTAGAGTGTATTTCCAAATCCCACTCCAACTCCACCGAACTTCTCGTGTAAATAAAATCCTCAAGGGTATGATTGTTACCACCTTCGAAATAAATGCCACCCGTGTCGACCTCATCCTTTGGACTGTTTGATAATCTAATCTTTTGCAAGAGATGATTCGTGCCGTCAACGTGGATCAGATTTTGGTTATTTTCACCGGTTATGTTAGAAAACGTACAGGAATGTGAATCTGATGTCATCCGAATAGTGTTGGTAAATTGTTAGTAAATTGTTAGTGTTGGTAAATTTTACGTCATCAACTTTGATGTCACTTCCGTCAATTCGAATCCCACTGACGGCGTTGACAACATTTATCTTGGATAATTTGCATCGATCTCCAGAAATATTAATACCAATGGTTACCCTGTCAGCCAAGGTGGTTGGAAGCAATATAGAAAAATTCGAAATTAAACAGTCTTTTCCAGAAATGTTGAAACAAATAGATGGTAAAATCCGCGTCTTATCCACTCCTTTCCCTAGGATGGTAATGCTATCTTGACGAAGGCGAAATTCCCCTTGATAAATGCCTTCCTCCAGAATTATGGTTGAATTCGGACCAGCATATGCCAAGCAGAGCCGTAAGTCCTCTCCATTTCGACAGGTTAACAGTACCCCCTCCCTCGTTTTGACTGATATTAGCTTATCAAAAATTTTATCGACACCATTCAAAGTCTGGTATCGCTGCTCAGGGTTCTTTTTAGTTGCCTTTATAACGAGTTCCTTAGCCAGGGAGCCGATGAGGGGGTGATCTTCCTTGACTAAATCTGTCTCACCGTCATTAACCAGCCGGTCGAATAGATTTCCTTTTATTTCCGGTTTAATCAAGGCGACAATTTCCCAGATTATTAATCCCAGCGAAAAGATGTCCGATTGATACGAATATTTTCCTGTTCTAACTTCTGGCGAGGTGTAGGCTGGAGTTCCAATGGCGCTTGAGGTCAGGGTGGGATCGTTGGGACCACGAGCGGTGCGGGATTGCCCGAAATCTCCGATTTGTACGGGGAGCCTGTACTTATCCGAGGTGAACATGATGTTGGCGGGTTTCAAGTCGCGATGAATAATTTTATTATTGTGTAGAAACTTTAACCCGGAAATTAAATCTTTAATAATTTCGATTTGCTTAAGTTGGATGAGTATTGAGTCCATCTTGGTTTCCGGGTGGCGCAGCCAGGAGGCCAGATTTTCACCGCAGAGCTCCATCTGTATACAAGTCCATCCCAGTTCTTTTATTTTTTCGGGTGTGTCTTGCCATCCGGCTTCAATAATTTTTGGGCAAGGGCTGAAAATACGCTTGAGTTGGTCTCGACTTAAATATTTATTACAGACTGAATTCCTAACGGCTACAATATTTGTGTGGCAAAGTTGTGTAATTAATCTGCTTTCTCTTTCATTTTGAAGCTTGAGTTTATCGTTGTCCGTTGGATAGATGAATTTTACGCAGGAGTAAGTTCCGTCTCGATGTTTTGATTTTAACACAAATCCAAAGGAACCATAGCCCAGGAATGATTCGTAGGTTTTAACAGTGTCAAGAAAATCTCGAGTGGATGCCATGCTGATTAAGTGAATTATTTGCAAAGTAGTGAGAAGAGTTTTGCTAAAGAGTTTCCTCAGATCAGATGTGAGAGTGAAATTAATTTAGGATGAAATTGGTTTGAGGTATGGGCGAATGATTCAGGAGGAGATAAGATAAGTTATCTCCATTGAACTGCGTATTTGGTTTGGTGCCATGCGTGAAATATGTGATCTGGGTCCAGTTTGAGGCATCATATGAAAATGTATTATACAAGCAAGGGACATGTGTCGCGAAACTAGATAAATGCAAAATTAAACACGTTCTTTATTTCGGAGCAGGATTGATTTCACATAAATGAAAAAAATAAGGAGTATTGACTAATATGTTTACTGCATGACCGAAATAAATTCTTGTAAATAAAACAGGGAGTTTGATATGAGAGATATGTTTCAAGTTGAAACTTGATGCATACATGCACGATTACCTCTTTGTTTGCAAAGAAGAGTATCAAGAAGTTAAATCTGTAGTTACATAAATACATATAAGGTTCAGCTCAGAACTCTACGCAGACCAATTTTGTACAGGGCCAATTTTGGGGATTTCTCGATGGTTAATTTTTATAGTAAATAAAACTAGTAAACTAATTTTTTTATGTAACCGAAACCTTAATTATGCCGTAACTTATGTAACGTATGTAGATGCTTATATGTAGCTTGAAATATCGCACATTTTTCTTTTTTTCAAAATTATTTTTCACACGCTGATTTAACCTTTTTCGAAGTTTCTTGAGAAGATGTATTTGTTTGGTAAAATGGTGTTGAAAATTTGCAACACGCTCTGTCTCTTGACCTGTCACTTTGGCACCTTGGGTCACAAAAGATGGGATTTGGAGGACACTTGTTTTAGAAAATCCCAAGTCCCTATAGCTATCTCCCAATTTTTAATTCGACCGTCGGTCATGACGTTCACTCTTTCGCATCTATTCCAAAACTCACGGAAATTAGTCGCTCTCGTCCCTCTTTGAACTCAACTTCTTTCTGCCAAGACGAAATTCCTTGGTCCAATCTCTCGCAGTATATAATTAAGAGGAAGAGTTAGGGATTAAATTGAGGGGTCGTTGAAAAAATCTCCAAACGGGGTCCTATCTTATGCTAAAAACTTAATCACAGAAAGATGTTCAATTGGAGAGATTTTATATATTTTTCTGTCTTCGGTCACATCAAACAACCTCCTCGACCCGGCCGTGACCGTGAATATTTAAGCAATTAAATCTGAGATACATACATATGAGTATATCTTTGTCACCTAAAAAAGTGGGTCAGAATAACCCTCCTTCACCGTCAAGCTACGTACTTATGGTCCACCCCTCGTATATACATACGTGTGTATCTTCGCCAGAGTCATTATTTTCACGTATTTATGTATCTACATTATTTTCGTGTATTTTCATGCACTATTTCGGATTTTTGATGGGTGTTATTAAACGTTTAAAAACGTTTTTGTGCTATAAATAATTTCGTGCAGGTGTTTTAACCGCAGAATTACACACAGGCTGTGTCTCACGGAGACACTCATCTGCCAAATGAGGTTAAGCAAATAAATATGTACATGGTTATCTGATTTTTCATCTACTCGTTCCCATACAATTAGTGTGGGAAATTCCATACATATGTAACTGCAGTTATCTTAAAAGTATGGAAAATGATTGGCATTGGCGCTATCATGCTGACTGGACATGTTTCCAACCGTGGCTGAAAATAAGTACTGAGGGTTATTAATCCTGCTTGGAGCAGTTTAAAAATAATCTTAAAACTGCAACTGGCGTAGATGAATTTGTTTGCTTGTTTAACGTTTTCGTTTCGCATTTGACCTTATTCTTAGTCTGTCCATCTAATATTACCCGACTCGAGATAAATCACTAAATCCTTATTCCGAGAACTTAGTGAACACACCATATGTAGACAATGGCCGGTAGCGATTTTGAGTGTAAAATAAACTAGTTTACGAGTTAGATAGAACGTGATAAATTTTATAGTTTGGTACATACACTTAATAAAAAATTTTGGACAAAACTTCCGGTCATTTTTATAAAAGTAACCCCTTTTTACTCATGCAAGTTGTAATCCATCGTGTCCGAATTCAGAAACAAAGTCCATTTTTACAAAATTGGAAAGCATCCGCTGGGAGACCTCTCTCAGCGTAAATACACACAAACATACCACGGACATGCTGATAACCTCTTAAGCATTCCCCTTTTAAACCCACGATGATAACAACTCTCTCTCTCCCAGAGTTTTATTTTGAGTGTCTGTTATTTAATTTGGTATGTAATAATGTCGGCTGATTTATAGCCTCACACATAACATCAACAGCCCGTCACCTCTCGCATCGGAGGAGATGACAAACTCTGGTGTACCCCACAACCTGGCCGGTAGCGATTTTGAGTGTAAACTATGGATCTGATCCGATTTTGGGAACCCATTTAATCTTATCTAATCCACGCAATAGTACATACATAGTCGGATAATCCAGTCGCATCGAATCGGATGATTTAAAAACTTTAAATACAGAAATTCAACAAGTTTGCAAAAATGTTTGGTGGAAATTGTAGGATGTTCAAGTGGATAATACCCATAGATCGGATATTTTGCGTACTCCGGCCTCCGGCTGGCCACGTGTACTCCGGCCTCCGCGTACTCCGGCCTCCGGCTGGCCACGTGTACTCCGGCCTCCGGCTGGCCACGTGTACTCCGGCCTCCGCGTACTCCGGCCTCCGGCTGGCCACGTGTACTCCGGCCTCCGCGTACTCCGGCCTCCAGAAAAAGCTGCGTACTCCGGCCTCCGGAGGCCGGAGTACGTACTCCAAGCCCGGAGTACTCCGATCTATGATAATACCAGGCACACCGTCGTGTGTTACTTTTTGCTTTTTAAGTTAGTCATCTAAAACGTAGCGTTAAGGTACAAATGGGAAACTTTCCAACAATTTTGCCTGTGATTGTTTATCACTAGGAAAGCCAAATTTACGTTAATTGTTACATTGATTCGATTGGTTATGAATTCAACTTTTGTACATCACATAAACTATAATAAATCGTTTCTGGCTAGGGTAAGTTTCGGATCGGTTTCGGATCAGTCTTGGGTTCGCGTCGGTTTCGATTCCGTGTGGATTTTTATAAAAAAATGTTGGGAACGGGTCGGTTCGTGTTGTCATATTTTCGGGTTTCGGGAACCGTACTCACCTCTAGCAGGTTTTTTAACGTGCTTACGTCAACCAGGCCATCATTGTCGCATTGTTCACTTACATATCTCGATTGATTGCCAACATCCAATCATTCAACCAACACCTTAACACCGGTGCCAACGTTTTCTGTCCTACTTAATAGATACAAATTCACATACATAAAACTTCCTGACTAAAAAAACGGAATTTGAAAGAGTAAAGTGTCTAACATGTCCAAAATAGGTTAGTACACTCTTAGCAACTTGGTAAAGAATTCTTAATAAGCGTCTTTACCGAGCTCTTGGTAATTACGCGTCCTACAAAAATTATACGGGGTTATTACCGTAACAATACCAAACGGGTAACTGGCCTTCCACCGCAATGTTCTAAGTTATCTTTATAATTTTGGTAATAAACTCCTACGAGCCGGTAATTATATCCTACAAATTTAGATAACACTCTTTACCATAATTTTCATTAAGTGTAGTACAAATGTTTCCCGTTGTGGTGCTGATGAGATCTACATTTTGGTGTAGTTTATTACCCTGGAGGTAAGAATTTTAATACATTTGGTGTTAATTGTGAGACGCTAAACATTGAGACAGTGGCGCATTTGTCAGTTTTAGTTTTCGCTTAGCTCAACTCAAGTCAACATGACGAAATTAATCCAGTGCTGCCCGTGAAAAAAAACCGATATATTCTGGAACTGGAAATTCTGGAAATATAGAATTTTTGGTAACAGGTAAGTATCAAATTATCATATGCAGGCGCCTTATCAAGATGGTGATCGAAAACCATCATAATAGGAAAGCTTTAATAATAATTTTATGCGTTTATTTTTTCAGTGAAACAAAAATTTAAGTTGGGAATCGGAGCAGATTTGAGTTTCATGTAAATATTTATACATGTGTATTTCTGTAACTCAATAGTTTGCATTATACTTAAATTTTATAATTATGTATGTTTCAAAACTATTTTACAATAAATATAATTGATTGAAAGATTAAAGAACAGCAAAAACTCTATTCTTTTCGGTGGAAATCTGCACAACATTTGGTAATAATGGGGCATACTAAAACAAAGCATTAATACCGGTATGAATAGCACACCGTGTACAAAGTGGTATGGTTTATTACCAGGCGGTAGACATTTTACTACATATTGTAGTACATCTGTCATACATCATGGTATTAATTTTATCCCAAAAAGTGTTCTTTATTACCACTTCGGATTCAATCAATTTCTTTACCAGCTGGTGGTTATTATTACCGTTTCTGCAGAGTCATATACGTGTGCATTTTGGTAATGATTTGGTAATGATTTTATTTAGAGTGTATAGCTATTTATTACCTAAAGTTTCTATGTATATTTAAGAGTAATATTACTGAAAAACGGAATCTCTTTAGAAACAAAAAAAACTTTTTTTTATAAATAAAGTCCAAAATCATGAAATTTGTTTTGAGAATTTCATAAAATGCTCTCAAACACTCAGTAAAAATCAGCTCTCTGTACCAACTCTTGAGAATCTTACCGAAATTATTTATTTTGTCTGGCCAGATTACGTTTTTCATTATTGCCACTCATACTTATTCAGCCACCACGTTAAACAGCTGCAATAATCGAATTATTGTAAAAATAATAAAATGCGAAGAAGTTGTGTTGCATATATGCAAATAAAAATAGCTAATTCACCTTGATTCCCGTATTTCTTTTAGCCAAAATGGACACCGAGCTATCCGATCTAGCAGTTCTTGACTTCGTTAAGCTAATCAATTCCACATTAAAGATGTTTCCCTTCTTTGGGTCCAGTATTTTTGGCGCCAATTCAACAGATACCTTGACCTACCTTGACGCCAGGATTTCCAGGATGCCGGAAGGGCGTAAAAATGAAATGATCGAATTTGTCCATCGTGTCGTTCTACACACTTTTCTAGGTCAGCTGGAAGATCGATTAAAAACAGAATCAAGCACCGACTGGCCTAGCATTATCAAGGCGGAGTTGCCAAATTTAACACAGATGTTGAATTTTATGAGTAAATATACAAGCCCTTTAGCCTTGGAAAGATTGGCCGGCGTGGTAAAAGCGTTGCATGCTTGGCCCCCTCGTACGTCTGAATACGACCAAATATTCGAGCTACCAATCGTTTTATGGCATGAAATCGAATATTGTAGAAATTTTCCTTTACAATTTGCACGTTGCAATTGCGTAATGGGAGCTTCACCCAGTTTTACCCTGGTCATCAGTGACGCAATGAACCTCAACCATTGCACCAATTCCGTCGTGTTGATAGAAATGTTGTATATGGGAAGAGCATCGACTTCTATGACCAATGGGATCGAATTCAAAGGAAGCAGAAAACCCGACTTGGCCAAAAAGAAGGATATTTGTGCACAAGGGCTGACGCATTTTAGTGTTGACCTCAAAGAATTTGCGGAGAAAATACACAATAAAAACGCCCTAAAAAGAAGATACGGAGCTGTAGAAATTTGTGTAGAGTTTGGCAACATTTTCACAGCTGAGAAGGAAGTCAAAGTGTTTCGCCTAGGAACGAGAATTCATCCGAAGGAATTTTCACAAAAAATTTTGGCATCTGATTTTGGCGACGAGTGGTGGTTGTTGAATGAGAAGAAGGGATTGCACAAACTCGGAAAGATGGAAACAAGGTGGCCGATAAATTACTGCACAGCCGAGAAAAATTGTTGGACGCACCCGGAAGTCGTTATTCCAGGAACACACACCGTGGATTTTGCAAAAGTTAAAATCAAGTTTCGAAATGGACACGAGTGCATCGTGACGAAGGATGGTCGGCGAGGGTATTGTATTGAGTGCGAAATTTACCATAATTTTGAAGGGAAATGTAGCGGAAAGGTGGGAGAGGATTGGAAGGAATTTAACTTCGGTAAGTTGGGCACAGCAAACCTGGCAATGAAAATGTTTGCGTATAAATGTCCCTTGGAAAAGCGCGACTGGATAAAGGATATTCAAGAGAAATATAAAATGTTTGATGAGAATCAGTTCGGCATTATTACTCAACACTGGGAACAATGTAAAGATTGGTTTGTCACGGAATGGAGAGCTCTAAAATTCTGAATCAACTGCAGCCATCCTTAAATTAAGGCACTGACTATGCGATGACGCCAGCGGTCTCGTTCGGATTTTGATAAAACCAAGATAATTATGTAGCCTTACACAAATAATTGAACACATGTTTCGGGATTTTTCATAATGCTCAGTTTAAACGAAGTTATGAAGGTATAAGTGGCCGAAAATTCGCATTTTTCTCCCTCGAAAACAAAAGACGAAAAACTTCACGAGAAAAATGCGAATTTTTCCGTCATCGCATAGTTAGTTGATTCTTAGGCATTGAGCAATTGGTTATTATCTGGGTGTAGAGATAGGTTTTTGCAAGCCCATTTCAGTATGTAGAATCCATTTCTTCATTACAATTCAAAAAAGATCGTAGGATATATTTATGTACATACGTGTCAAAGTAAGGAAATCGAAGATAAAATTTTCCAAGGGTACGAAATTTCTAACAAAGTCCAATTTGAGCTGGTAGCATTTCATGCAAAAGGGAATGTTTAACTATATAACAATAATAGATTGTGAGTTTATATTGGATTGGATTTTTTTAAATATCGAAATTGTCTTCCTTTATAAAATACACGCATTGACTATCAAGTGTAAATATGTACTATTTAACCAGATACATAAATGTATATTCGTATCCATGTAAATTTGAAATATTACCAATTATCTATGTATCTACCCAAATTATGTACCCAAGTTATTAACATATACATACTTCCGAAACAAATATGCTCATGACTGATACGATAATAATAATTTGGTTAAAGGTTTAACATCTCATGTTGTACTTTGTTTGTTAAGTAACATATAAAATTGAGACTCTATGGATGCATACACTCTTGGAAATCCAGTACTAAAATAATAGGACGCGGATTCATCTCAGCATAAAAAATGAGCATGTTTAAAAAATTTCATTTATGTTGGCTCTCTGATTTTTCAAAATTATCCTATCAAGCTGGTATTGATATTGGAGCTGTTTACTAGGAAGCAAGTAGGGAGACATTTCGAAAATTATTCAATGGAGCCTTGTTTATCATGGAATACATTTCGCATTTCATGAACAAAGGCGAGCGAATGAATCTGATGACGTTTTTATCATCATCATTCCAGCTGAGAAACCGCGATGCGAAGGGAAATATTCTCTCTCTAACAACTCAAAAATAAATAAATCGACAAAAAATATACATATTTTTTTTAATTGGGCAATATTTTTGAATTCGTTATCGCAATAACTAAATTGTGAAATTAATGTATCTCATATGTACCTAACTTTAATAAGTTCGGCTAACTTTACATAAAATTCGCATAATTAAGAGGTGAAATTTTGCAAAAATAATAATGTCACATTCTCAACGAGTTTGTTTATTTTGTCGAAAAATTACCTGTCAATCTACTGACTGTAGGTGTGCGTTGGATTACGTTCCATTGTTTCTAACTTATCTGAAAACAATTAATATTAATAAATATTGCTTGGACAATTTTCCCCGTACGGAATTTCATTCTTGTGACGAATGTGGCTCTCTGCTTGGAACGATTTCCCAACTTGTGCAAAAATTGGGACAAGAATTAAGGAAAATTTACAAGGTCACGTTAGAAAATTTAAGTGAGGACGGGGGGAACGTACTCCTGGAAAAATTGAGAAGACAAATTGTCTCTGGTGAGAAGGTTTTCTAAATGGGAAATTTTAATCTTTATTTTTTTAAAATTTATCGCGAGAGGATTCGCAAAATATAATTTTCGCTTTCATACAAATTTTTCATAGCTTTGATCTATTTCGAAATCCGATAATTTTCCAGCTTGGGTAAATTTGCAAAACAAAATCCTACATTTTTCTTAAAAAAAATTGCGAAATGACAAAAGTTGCTCCTCAATTTGGAAAGATTGTCGTAAATACATTACGAATTAATTAATAGTTTGCTAGAGGATATTTGGATATTAATAGTTTGCTAGAGGAATTTAGTACAATTTCCGTCCCAAATACATATGTACAAAAAAGGCAACACACCTGCTAATCTAGACGATTATTGTAAATGCACAGATGACACGGAAATTAAAGGTTATGTGACGGTCAAACTTAAGGAAGAAGAACATGACCTCACTGAGGACGAGGACGAGGTCACCGTCAAAATGGAAATTGAAGAAGGCGAGGTCAAAGTTGAAATTGGCGACGAGTTTATTATTCCAAACATCGGTGAAGATCCGCTCCTCCTGGACGAAGACCGGGGTGTCATCGAGGGGAATTATCTTCAGCGGAAGGATGAACTCGATCCACTGGGGCCCCGTCCCCCGAAAAGGTCCCGATTGTCATCGGAAGAGGAACACTCAACAAAATTATGCGACATCTCAAGAACTGAATTAAAGAAAATTAACAAAGTAAAAAAGGTAAATGAAAATCAATCTGAGTGATGTGCAAAATATGTAGTTGCCAAATTAAAATCGGAATTTGACTGACTTGAAACCTGCCATGGTCAAAATTAACAGATATGTAATTCCGAACATATTTAGCTTAGTTACTTGATTTACGCTTAAGTAAATGCATCAACAATATATTGAAATTTTGACTTTTTCAGGGCTCGTCGAAAAATAAAGTTGGGTCGAAAACCGAGCCCCCCGTGGTGAATGAAACCCTACCCCACGTGAACGCGACGTCTGAGTTGAAATGCGACTATTGTAACGTTACGACAGGTTCTTTGGCCATTATGACGCGTCATTTACACAGTGAACATTTAGGTACTTCGTCACGTTTTTATATATCAGATATTCTAGAATGACATAAAACGGAACCTTTTTCAAGTTAGAGCAGAGGACTGTCTAACGAGTTATATTAAAAAATCAGGCCAAAACATACAAATGTCATAATGACATTGTCATTGCACTTATCCAGAGATCCTTAATGGTTTGTCCCACTTGTTTTTTGCAGGTCTTATCTTCCCGTGCATGCAACCTAGTTGCGCTGCCCGGTTTCCAACTCGTGACCTCTTACGCTTACACAGATCGGGGTCCCATTGTGTTATAAAGTGTGACCATTGCGAGCTCACTTTCACCTCGGCCGAATCCCTGACCCAGCACAAATCAGAGTTTCACCAAAAATGTGAAATTTGCGGGTTGCTATTTCTCAGGTCCAATTTCCCTCACCACGTCGAGAAATGCCGCGAAGTAAGTGGCAAAATCGGCGCGGCCAATTCGGTGAGGGTAGCGAAGCATATTTCTGCGACGGGTGTAATCACGTACGACTGCGGCGAATGCAACGTCAAGAAACTAGGAGAGCGGGAATTGTTGCTACATATTCGTGAAAATCATGCAGGTGGGTTTTCGAAAGGAGTTAATTTTTTCTTATTTTAAACAAAGGTTTACGTGAAAAAAGGTTTTGAAAACAGTTGCAAATTTTTATTTAAAAAAGCAGTGGCGAATTTATGAAAAAAAATTGAGGATTCTTTTTATAAAAGTGTGGCACAAAATTTACAGTAAATTTTGTTACCCACTTTTTCCTGGGTTTTTGAAAACGGTTGATTCTTACATATTTTCCAGACAGACAAGACAGTTGGGAATTTGCATATGAAGTAAATTGAAAATTTGATTTACATAACGTATATAATCGGTACACAAAATTTACCGTAAATTTCGCACAGGTTATTTTTAAATACGTAGGAAAACAACCAATTATTGCTTGAATACTAGTTTTAAATTTCCAAATATACAAACTTACATATGTATGTATATTTTCTGTATATTTCGCAAAATTTTCTGTATACATTGTCTAATAATGCAGCTCTTTTACTTGAATACTTTAAAACTCAAACTTTTTAAAAGCCCATGTAAATTTGGTGTAAATTTCGCGAAATTTTGCACAGAAATTGTCTAATAGTCCTCCTTTTTTACTTGAATATTTCAGAACAGCAGTCCTTTAAGTGTCCCGCGTGCGAAAGCGCCTCATCATCCCAGGCCGCGTTGGAACTTCATTATCGCAAGTTGCATATGCATTCCATGCCCAACGGGAAACTATGTACCACGTGCTATAGCTTTTTCACCTCCCAGGAAGCACTGGACTACCACGTGCTCCTAGAGCACAAAAACGTGCCCAGCACGTCGAATTGCAGGCAGGAAAAGGTGGTGTACCCCGCAGACCAACGAACGATTGAAAAGTGTAAATTCTGCGGTAAACATGTGCTGGGAAGTATGAAGAACATTTTGGAACATGAAACTAGGTGCCGCCATGAGGTTAAATCGTGGGGGAAATAAATTAATAGAGGGGTGTACACTGGATAAATAATTTTTAAGGAAGGACGACTATGATAATTGTATATTTCCATAAGTATTTACTTAGTATGCCCAAGTTAACTGTAAGTAGCTATTTTCTTCGAAACCGCTAGAGATAATAAAAATCTGATGAGTGCATTGGATTCCCCGTGCGATTTTGCATAAGAACCAGAAATCAGTTTTTTGCTAACTACAAAGCAGATTAGCATGGAAAATATTGAATGGAAGCGGGCGACGAAAATTTTTCACTAAAAAAATGGGGAGAGAAATAGCGAATTTGAAAGTGTGACAGGAATCGAATGTGAACTTTAATTTAGTCCAACTGAATACAAAAACGTTCATAAACATCAAATCGACTAAGAACAGTCGAAGAAAAAATTTTCGAAAGCCTCCAAGGACACACCCATCGTGAAGGTGCTGAAGGCTAGATTCTGAAGAAATTACCGAAATTTCAACGGAAAATAGCCTCACAGCTGTGAGCCCAGGCTTGGGGCTTTGAAACGAAGTAATTGCCACCTCCTGATCAAACCCTTAAAGAAAGCCTTACTAAAGAAATTAATGTCTTACCTCTAGCGGTACGCTCCAAAGAAGTGAAGAGGATTCTTTTTACATATGAGGAGATTTTCACATCGGAAAAATCTTTTAGCCAACGAAGTTGACCTAATCTACGCCAAATCGGTCAAAAGCATCCCCCAATATAGACAAATGGTCAAAAAGTCCCATTATCCAGGTTTTGTCATGGTTTTGGTAAGTGGGAGCTAATTGGGGCAATTCTTCTACATTTTGTTGAAAATGGGGGGAAGGTGGGGGGATAAAATTTCACAACAAATATTTTTGAGTCCGTGGAACATCCCCTAAGTGAGATCCAATTCAATGGAATTGATGGGATCTCTCAGCAAGACTCAGCATCAGTGCATGGTGCAAAAAATGATGTCAGCGTGGCTGAAAAATCAAATTCCGGACTTTATCTTCAATTTGGACTGGTCGTCCTCCTTGATGGACTTAAGTCCCCGGATTTTGAAAATTGGTCTAAGGAGGACAACCCTTCACCGACAGAATGACCGATCTTGATGCCCTTGGGATATGTTGTAGTCCTAGGTGAGTCTAGCAAAAGTGAAGAAGGATTTCATTCCATGGCCCCATTTGCGCCCGCCACACCCACTCAAAGGTGCAAAAATACCCTGTTTTGGTTCATTAAAAAAATCACCAAAAATCCAATTTTGGTCGGATTTTCACAATTTAAGCATTTTTGTGACCTTAGATAGTTGCTCTATCATATCCAATAGCAAACTCAACTTTTTTGAAATTTTGATTTTTTTGAAATCCACGAAATTTTCGAAAATATTCAAAAAATTCAAAAAATTGAAATTCATGTCGGATACGATAAAACAACTATCTGGGATCAAAAAGGTGCAAAAATTATCAAATTATCATTAAAAATGGATTTTTGGTGAATTTTTTAATGCGACCAGTTTGGCATAGGATTCCTCTTTGAGTGGGTGTGGCGGGCGCAAATGGGGCCATGGAATGAAATCCTTCTTCACTTTTGCCCAACTCACCTAGTGCTACAACATATCCAAAGGGCATCGAAATCGGTGATTCTGTCGGTGCAGGGTTGTCCTCCTAAGTTAGGGGCAAAGGTGTGTTCTAAGCCCCATAGAAGTGTGAAAGCTTTAAAATATTCTATGACCACGAAATGGAACAATTTGTCCACGGATTCCGACCGTGCTCCTATCGAGGGCTGTAGACCGCGTCTTCAGCTCTGCATTAATGTTGGAGGAGGAAATTTCGGAAACCAAAAATTGTTTTCTACGCAAAATTTAACGGGCTTTCCATTAAAATTTACTAGAAACTTGTAACACAAAAACTGTTGAAGCTACAGCGTTTCATTTCACTTACAGTTACCTTGGGCATGCTATGTACATATAAAGAAGAGTAAAAAATGTTTCTATAAAATGCATAGCCTGTCTTCCTGTAATTGAACACATACATACATATAGAAATACTTTTTCGGGAGGTTATGCATTGAAAAATACGAACTGGGAACTTTGCCGGTGTAACCAAGTCAAAATTAGATTTTGGCAACTTTGGGGGTGTAACCAAGTCAAAATTCGATTTTGGGAACTTTGGGGTGTAACCAGGTCAAAATTCGATTTTGGGAACTTTGGGAGCGTAACCAAGTCAAAATTAAGTTGTGGGAACTTTGGGGGTGTAACCTAGTCAAAATTTGATTTTGGTAACTTTGGGGATGTAACCTAGTCAAAAATTCAGTTGTGGGAACTTTGGAAGTGTAACGAACTCAAAATTTGATTTTGGGAATTTTGGGGGTGTGACCAAACCGAGAATAAATTTTGGAACTTTGGGGGTGTCAAATCCCCAAGTCAAAATTTAATTTTAGAAGCTTTAGGTAGAGCTATGGCCAACTCAAAAGTCGATATTATTATTTCTAAATTTTGAGATGGTTACACCCACAATGTTTCAAAAATTGATTTTTGACCTGGTTACACCCCAAAGTTTAAATTCGAAAAGGTCACGTTACATAGTTATATTAATTAAATAAATTCATAAATTGCAAGATTCCAATTTCGGTATTGTAATATCGAAATATCGATATTTCGGTATCTGAATACCGATAATTTCGGTATTTTAATACCGAAATATCGAGATTACATGCCCTATTCGTGCCCAGATTCGAGTATTGCTCACATTCTTAAGTTCCAAGCAGTCCTTCGAACCATTCGCGATGACAGAGGAGGAGGCTAGTAAAGCTTACCGGAAGTATCAAATACCACATTTTAATAGTTCGATTGAAAAAGAAGTGGTAGCTTGTAGACAATCCGTGCTTATTAGAGAGATTGCGTATATAGAGGCGGAAATGCTGTTTTTTACGAAACATTATTATTGGCTGGAGTTTTACAATGGGAAGGAAACCCTGGATTCGCAACCGTACGGCGTTACCTTCATGAAGGAGGCATCTTCTAATATCCCGAGGAGTTTTAAATCCTTGCAAGAAACCGGAATCTTGCCGCGGGTCGAGGCAAAATTTCACGCGTCGAAATATGCCGGAAGGAAGCCAGTGGTTAAGGAGAGAAAAGAAATTGACATTTATCTCAAGATGGACAGAGGAATTGGAACATTATTCATTGTGTTTGTGATTGCAAATTGCATAGCTGTGGGCGCGTTTTTGATAGATATTTGCATTTTAATTAAGAAACGTCGACTTTTACAGAAATTATGGTACAAGCGGAGGTATTGAGAAAAATACGTCTGGCGTTGGGCCGATGTAAGCGGTGGTGCAAATGTATTTAGTTAGTTTGTAGAAGTCAATGGGTAGCATGTAAGCATTGGTAAATACATAATGCATAAGAGTTAGTGTTACTGCGCGTTCTAGCGACGAATAATCAACAACCACCACGATGGAAGGATACAGGTTTGGGCTGAATGAGATGATCCTATACATGTCACAGATGGAGTAGGAGTTAACTCTGTGAGTTTGCCATTTAGTTTAACATTGAGGGCTTCTGGCGACCTCTCAGACTCGCATAGGAGGATCATCCCCCTTACTTGCTTAACAAAGAGCAGAGTGCTTCTTCTAATTCTTTCTATTGTATGGTAGAAGTGACACATTTATATAGGTGCCCATATGTACATATGCAATTAAATTATCTTATACACATACCGTAAATGTTCTAATTATAGCCGAGGCTAAAATCCAAAACTTTGTGTCACAGACTAGGCTACAATTAAAGACCGGCTATAAGTATAAACCGGCTAGATTTTGTTCCGCCCTAACTTGAGATATTATTAAATCACGTATAGGCGTATAATTAATATTTACGAAATTCGAATTTGATTATTTAGCAAGATATGCCACCAGTTGACCTTTCACTTTAAATCTACTTTTCTAAGCAAGCTTTCGTAGTGTTTTCCGAATTTATTTTCGGAATCTACGTTGAATTCTCTATGAAAAAGATTTGTTACATAATAAGAATTGATAAGGAAATCAGAGACTCACATCACTAAAAAAGTTTAAATTTTAAACGATTTAAATTTTTGCTTACTATATACATAAAGTAGCATATGCATAAATATGACATAAATATGTACATAATCAGCTTATGCAGATAAATATGCATTAATTAACAAATCTACCCTCAACACGAAAGCATAGCCATTAGCATTATTAATGTGGACAGGTTTACTACTAATGGGTTTACTACTAGGTTGGTATTTCGCAAAGTTTCGATCTGAGTAATTAATAATTCAAGTGGCACTTCTTACATATATACCTATGTACCTATATATACCAACATATATACCTATATATACATATTATGTATATATATATACATAGGTATATATGTAAGAAGTACATACATATTATGTACTGTTCATATGTGCATATGTAACTTTGGCATATATTCATATGCAGCAACTCTTCTGTCTGATATTCAAATTCAATTTTCTCAAGCACAATGCACAAGTTGACATTTTCAAATTATTTTCTACTATTTTGTAGCAATGTCTGTCTAATGGACTACGTACTCTTAAATTTTCGAAGAAATTAAGATAAAATTGTTAAGTGTACAAATATTTTAAATCCAAAATTTCACGGTACATATAAACTGCGCACATAAATTCCACCCGGGTGGAACTGGCGTGGTTAATCACGAACATTTGCGAGGGTTCCCAGTACCCGATAGCTTGGAAAAAACCCTATTTTTTCGCCCCACTTTTGGCGTATGTATTAATGGATCTTACAATGCGATGACGCCAGCGGTCTCGCTCCGATTTTGATGAAAGGTTTGATAATTATGTAGGCTTAGGTAAATAATTGAGCACATGTTTCGGGATTTTTCATCATGCTCAGTTTAAACTAAGTTATGATTTTTCTCCCTCAAAAGCAAAAAAAAGAAAACCTTTACGGGAAAAATGCGAATTTTCGGCCACTTATACCATCATAACTTTGTTTAAACTGAACAGTATGAAAAATCCCGAAACATAAATATGTTCAATTATTTACCAAAGGCTACATAATTATGGAAGTTTCACCAAAATCGGAGCGAGACCTCTGGCGTCATCGCATTGTTAGTATCCGTCATCATGCATATGCTATACATATTTATTTGGCAATTTTATTAATATATTTACTTTGTAGTACAAGTATGATAAGTATGATTTGTTAATTTAACATAAGTTTGTCTAATAGTTAAACAACACATATTGTTCTTAAACTCGAATGCGCAACCACAGGGCGTTTTTCGACCACTCTAAATAGCTAGACGTCCTTCCCTAAAAATATATCTATGTATAATCAACATAATCATTTAAAAAATCGACCCTCACCACGAGAGTGAGTCGCTAGGAAACACCATTCGTCGAAGTTATGTAGGTACATACATAAATATATTTTTGGCAACTAAATATGTAATATGCCACGAGCGTTATTAAGTTTAAAAAATTCTCAAATTCGAGGTAAAGAATCAATTAAGCATAGGGCCCATGTCCGGTATTATTTATTTAATGAGTTTCTTCAATCGTTTATTTTTTGGAGGTCCAATGTTGTTCAACTTTATTCCTTTCTTGGATACCGTATTCCTTAATTTTGTGCACATGTAAATAAGCATTGTCTTCGAAATCTGCATACGAACATACATACAGGATGTATGTATATGTATTACTAACGCTTTTATTAGTAATATCCTGAAGTCGAGAATGACCAGAACGTAATATAATTATGTATGTACCTAGTCTATTCATATAAAGTGTTACTCGTCCCGTACTTTTCAACCCGATAAGATAAAATTAAGAGGTAAGTTGCATTTTGTACATTCATTCAGTGGCTATCATTGATGTTAGCCTCTTTTAGCTGACCTTACTATGTCAAAAGATGAAGGAGCTTTACCATACGCCCGCGACAATAATTTTTCACTTTTTTCGTGAGGAGAAAAAATCACAAAATTTAAGTAGTGTAGCAATTCAAGGACAGGTACGATCTGGTTACCTAAACTATTAAAGTATCGCTAGAGATAGTGTCTATTTATGGTATAAACGTTTCGGTGGTCAAAGGTCATGGAGGACTCCAGTGATGTCCGAAGCTTTGAACGTCAGAATAGCACAAAATATCCGTCGTACGGCAAAGACTTTGACCATACAAATGACCTTCTATCTTCAGCAATCAGAAAAGTACTGAAAAACGACCCACACACAAGGGCCTTTAAGCTTAGTAAGTACCACATGGTCACCCATCCCCGGAAAGACGCTAGGCTCAAACAAATTAACTCTTTCCTCAAGCGGCACGGGAAAAAAGCAAAAAAAAAATCTCCGTTTATCGATGAGAATTCCTTCATGACGGATAAATTTCTGAACCAAAAAACTAGCTAATTTTGCATTATATAGTCTAGGGATTAGCTAGTTACAAAATAGAAGTTCAAATATTATTTTATCGGGGCCCATTCATGGTTTTGGCGGGAATTTGCGGGATTGGGAAAAAATCGACAAATTTCCTCGACAGTCGAGGAAAAGGTCTGTTCTTAGCCCCATATGTGCGTCAGGGTCGCAAAAAAATTTCTGACCCGGGAATGTGACAATGTGTCAATAAATTTCGTTCGTGCCGCGGCGGTTGCTTGGCTTTCGCGTCTTCAAAAGTTTATCGGCATATTTGACTCAAATTTTGAAGTGTGACACATGTATTCTATTCGAAATTTAACTGGCTTTCCAATGAAATAAAAATTAAATTTCAATTTCCAAATATGAAAGCGTTGTACGCGCTTATACCAGTAACACTTTATCTGAATAGACTGGGTATATCCGATGCAAAGAAAACCCTTAACAGAAGTATGCTTGCATTCTAAACGTAAATGTGCAAAAAGTTTCCCTAATAAAAAACTCTTCTTATATAAATGTATTATATTCTCCTGGTCACATCCTGTTCAATATATTTCATAAAACCTTGCCTGTTCCATGTAGTTGTGAAATAAATAAATTAGGAACAAGTATCTACAAAATACAAAAATTTTCTCTGGAGGAAAACAGACTCCTTTTGCAACACCAGATTCTGATGCCCTTCGGATATGTATGTTGAAGTGAAGGATGAATAAAGTGCAAGGCCC